ATCCTTTTTTTTGTCATTACAATTACAACAGGCGTTTTTCTGTTAATATGTCAGTAATCTGAGCATAAATTATTACCTCTGCCAGGGAGGTTATGTTTCCATCTGCTTTTGATTGGCTGCTTTCAAAATAACTCAAAAAGTTATGGATGTGTTTTGCTGAAATTTCCAGAGAAGGTGCGAATTGTGACTGTCAACAAATGATTAACTTTTGGTGATCAATTTTTTAAAAGATTCTGTAAATACAGGTATTAATTTAAGGTGCCAGAGGAAACGAGCTATTTGGCTGAGGTCTGTGCTCTCTGAATGGTTCTATAGTCTCTAAATTACATACTGGCTCTACCTTTCCATAGGTTTTGAATGCTTTTTATATTTTTATGTTTTTGATTTAAAACTAATATATCCTTAATACTTTACCCGAGATCACTGGAGCCTCTACAAGTGTTTATTTCCTTTTTTTAAAAAACAATATGGAAGAAATGAACATATTATTCCCTTTAGTCAGTGACACTAAGGTAGCAACAAAAACTATCACCCACTGATTAAAATGGACATCCTTCTTGACAATTATAGTTAAGATACTGATGAGAAGTCTGACTTCTTTTCTCCATCGTATGAAATAGATTTATGCCTCTAAATGCAAATAAAAACCAACAAGTTATGTGATGCATTTTATTTTCAAGACTGGTGGAAAGTGCAGAAATATTAGCATAGTAATATTGTTGCATAAATTAGTGTAATCTGGAAATATTTTCTGGTTGATTTAAAAACACCAAACGAATAAAAAAGTAACATAAACTAGCTTGTTTTCCTGCAGTATATGACCATTATAAAATAAAAACAAAGTTTTATTTTTGTCCAAGAAAATGATTTTGGCAGCTTAGTCCTTAAAGTGAATCAAGTTGTTCTCCACATAATTCAGTTTTGGTTTCTATCTTCTAATTTTATTATTCAATTTTAGAGACTTAATAATCTTATTAATTCAGCATTCGTTCACAAACATGGCAGTCTGAAAAAAATATTTGTAGGATTCCAAAAATACCTTTAATTTTAATTCTTTAAACTGTTGAAACAGATGTAAAGCCTGTACTATGTATTTATTCAGTACGTCTTTTTCCTTCAAGGTTGACACACACATCCATGCAGCTGCATGCATGTCGCAGAAACACCTGCTAACTTTCATCCAGGAACGGTACAAGACTGATAAAGACCGAGTGGTCTTGGAAAAAAATGGACAAGAGATGACCCTACAGGAGGTTTTCCACTATCTCAACATGGATGCTTATGATCTCACTGTGGATTCTTTAGATGTCCATGCTGTAAGGAAGCAAACATTTATTTTAAATTGATTATAAGATTTTTACCTGCTGAATTTAATAAGTCATTAATTATTTCTGTGACAATAGCTGATTTTTCTAGATTTTACGTTTTTTTTTGTTTTGTTTTTCATTTGTTTGTTTATTTCAGGGAAGACAAACCTTTCATCGCTTTGACAAGTTCAATTCAAAGTATAATCCCATGGGTGCCAGTGAACTACGAGAGATCTTCCTGAAGACAGACAACTATATCAATGGGGAGTACTTTGCTCGGATCATAAAGGTGCGTCCTGTAGCCATAGTGCAAGCATGCCCAAAGTGGGTCCTCGAGAGCCGCTGTCCTGCAGGTTTTAGAGGTTTCCCTGCTCAAGAACAGCTGATCTCCATTCATAACTAATTAACAGACCTTTGCTGATCTGCAATCATCAGAATCAGCTGAATTGAAGCAGAGAAACCTCTAAGATCTGCAGGACAGCGACTCTGAGGAGATTTTGGGCATGCCTGCCATAGTGGTTCAATTAAAGCTATTGCAGAAAAAGTTCACTGCACTACTCCTTATATCCCACAGGAGGTGGCTGCCGACTTGGAAGAGAGTAAGTATCAGCATGCAGAGCCACGTTTGTCCATCTATGGACGCTCTCCCGATGAGTGGGACAGTCTGGCAAAGTGGTTCATTCACCACAAACTCCACTCACCAAACATGAGGTGGATGATTCAAATTCCCAGAATATAGTGAGTGCCACTGTTAAAAAAATGCAAGCCTCTAATCTAATGAAATTTCATCAAGTAATGAGAGTAAAAATTTTTTTAAGTGATATTTTCAAGGCAAAGAAACTGGTACCCAATTTTGCCAAGATTCTGGAGAACATATTCCTTCCTCTCTTCAAGGCATCTGTGAATCCACAGGAGCACAAAGAGCTTCATGTTTTCCTCAAATATGCAAGTATCATTATTCTATTATTATTTATTATTCTTAATGTACTCTACAAGGAAGATTAACCTTTAATTCTTTTTTATTTAGAATGTATGCAGAATATTAACATCTTATAGATTGGTAATGAAACATTTATCACAAAGCCTTTTCCCGTTAAAAAAGACACCTAAACCTAGAAATTGGACTTGGTGTAAAGATCTCCACATACAAAATTACTGCAAATCAAAGTGAAGCGTTTTAATCATAAAGAAGCACTGCTGTTACAACAAAAAAACGTTCAATAATTTGAGAGAAGTGTAAGAAGGTTAATGAAGCTGCTGAACATTATTTATTCCACCATTTATTGGTTAATTACCGTGCAAAATTTTCTGGTTTGTTCTTTGCAGGTTTCGGGCTTCGACAGCGTAGATGATGAGTCCAAACACAGCAACCACATGTTCTCTTACATGAGCCCAAAACCAGAACAGTGGACCACACATGACAACCCTCCTTACAGCTACTACATCTTCTACATGTATGCCAACATCATGGTGCTCAACAATCTGAGGAAGTAAGATCTAATGACCTAAAATTCTAATTTCAAATGACTCATATTTAGACAATTTTTTTTTTTTTATTGTATCTTCTCTCAACAGTAGATTGTATCATGTAGTATAGAAACATTCAGAACACAGTACATCTAAACTGAACATGACAGATGACAGAATATCCCAATAACTAGAACCAAAACTAAAGTTTGATTCAAAAAAAGTTGAACAGAGTTATATGATGTTGGTTTCACCACAGAGAGCGTGGGCTGAATACCTTCCAGTTTCGTCCCCACTGTGGAGAAGCAGGATCTATCACCCATCTGGTCTCCGCCTTTCTGACTGCAGACAACATTTCACACGGACTGAACCTGAAAAAGGTACTTTGTTGATAGATAGGCTTAACTCTCCTTCACATGTCCTGAAAAATATTACAACCAAAGAGTAACCAGAAAACAGGGAGGAAGTAGATTATGCTGTCTCACTAGGAGGGGAGATTAATTATAAATAAATTACTGAAAATACTTAAATGTGTTCTTTTATTCAAAGCTTTTTTTAACCTTGTTTAAGCTTGTTTTCCCAATTTAGGTGAAATGTCTAGTTTTTTTTTTAGATTCCAGTTATTTTTTCTTAAGGCAACTGAAGATAAGGACAATGTAGCCGTGAAGTAGGGAAAGAAGGCCTTTAGAATAAAGAAATGATTTAAATCAATTAAATTGAGCAGCAACATTAGTAACTCTGAAAACAGGTTAAAGGTTTTGTTTGTTCTGAACTCTGAAGCTGTTTCTGCAGATCTAAATGATGCGTAGTTTGGGCTACCACTAACAATAGACCTTCTTCACTAATACACTTTAAAATTAGGTAGCAAAGCTGTTCTCAAAAAACAGAAATGGTTATACAGATATATTGCATCCCTTAAAGGTACTGTGGAGGATCTTCACAAATTTTTAAAATGACCCACCCTCTCCACTTTATGAAAATATTTCTCCTCATACACGCTCTGTTTAAGAGTGGCTCTTTGCATCGCTCATACAAGCTTACTTTCCAAAAGAAGACTTGCATTTCTTTCCACAGTTTTAGACTCACCACCGGTAAGTGAAATGGGATGAGCACAAAGGACGGCCTTATGTAAACATGTCACCAGAATGATTGACAATTAGGAGGACCACTTTTTTTGATGAACCACCCAGAAAAAACATATCCTCCACTATACCTTTAAGCAAAGAATTTGGCTGGAGCTGAGTAATTAAAAGACATGATAAAGGAATTTAAGAAACTTGAAGGTGTGGCGTTAAGAAAACAATGTTTTGGTTGATTTCCAGAGTCTTTTCTATCTTTCTATACAGAGTCCTGTGCTGCAGTATCTGTACTACCTGGCCCAGGTACCCATTGCCATGTCTCCCCTCAGCAACAACAGCCTGTTCCTGGAATACTCCAAAAACCCACTCAGAGAGTTCCTACACAAAGGTCTGTGTGTGTCACTGTCCACGGATGATCCCATGCAGTTCCACTACACCAAGGTAAAACATGCAGGGTTCTGCTATAAAGAAACTCATACAGATTTATATATATATATGTATTTTTTACACTTCTCCTGCCATGATAGGAACCTTTGATGGAAGAGTATGCTATAGCAGCTCAGCTGTGGAAGCTCAGCACCTGTGATGTCTGTGAGATAGCCAGAAACAGTGTGCTGCAGAGTGGACTAAGCCACCAGGTAACATTCACATACTTTTTAAAAGGAATGTTTTCTCCAATTTTCAATCAAATTCCCCCAAAATGTTAATCAAACATCTTTAACTTCTTCTTTTTTTTTTTTTTAAGGAGAAGCAGCAGTTTTTAGGAGTGAACTACCTGAAAGGTGGACATGAAGGCAATGACATCCGTGGGACCAATGTGGCCCAGATCCGTATGGCCTACAGACACGAGACGCTGTGCAATGAACTCAGCTTCATAGCCGATGCAGTGAAGTCTGAAGCTATGAATTCCTATCAGGACTAAAAGAAACTTCAGACAGAGGAAAAACTTCCGCTATACTCTATTATTGTTTTTTGAAATAAGCGGATGGCTCTGATGGTTAATGTAAAGATGAATGGCAACACAACACCTATAGGGTATCTAACTGAGAGGTTGATTCATGCTTTCTATTACCTTAACCTAATTCTATACCTTTTAGTAGCCCTTTGCACTGAATACCAGAAATGAGAAGAGCTGAGACAACAAAGATGGATTATATGCAACATTTCTTCTGTCTTCTTTCATTTCTTTTACCGATAGTTCAGTGAACTATTGAAAACATTGTTTAACTTAGAGGTTATGACAATAAAAAGTTGCAAGTCTAGAAATTATTTTTGTGTAAACATCTCACCCTTGTAGCTAAACTATAGTACATAACTAAACAGTAGATTACATTTAATATTAAATATTTACAAATACCCACTCCAACCCACCAAAAAAACAAACAAAAAAAGAAGTTTATTCTGCACCAGAAATAGTCAGATTTCCCACATCTATCCTTTGATCTTCTTGAACTTCTTTTTCTTTAGTTTCTGTAATAGTCTTCACAGATATCCACTCTTCTGTCTGCGGGCAATTATGCTGCTGCTGCATCTTCTGTTCAGAGTGCAGATAGCAGTGCCTTCCCCTTTTCAGAGATTATAACAAAAAAAAAAATAAATTAGACAAAGCAGAACCCACCTTTTACCAGTACAAATGAACTTTAAATGTCATCCCCAGCTCCCTTATTATTAAAAACACTCACAGCTTTAGGTATGCAAGCACAGCTATCGTTGCAAGGAGTATGCCACAGATGCAGGTGATGAGTACAACCTTTGCTAAAACAAAAACATCAGGAATGATTTAAAAAAAAGCTGATCTCTACTGGGATGAGAGTCCCTGATGATGCTCTTACCTGCAGGAGAACTTTGTGCATGACTGGAAAACCGTGCAGGTTCTACCTCATTGTTTATGGTTTCAGGGTTGGTTGTGGAGAAAGGAGGATGGGTGGATGAGGAGGATGTAGACGAGGCTGTGAGGGTGGAGTTTGCTGAGTGTGTGTGGTCAGAGGTGCTCAGAGGGTTATCTGTTACTGCATCCTTCAATTGTATTAATGCATCTGTGGATGTACATGAATAACAGCAGATATTAACTTCATATCATTTCAGAAAGGCTTGCTTTAAGTTATGGTTATCTGCAATATCTGTAATTTTCTATTATATAATATTTTTTTTCCCCTAACCTTTCCTCTTCTGATGTATAAAATAACACTTTACACCTCAACTATCAAGCCATGTCTACAGCTCACTTGTCTTTAAAGGCGTCTTTGTGCTTAAAAGTAATTTTTTTCCTGAGATTCTCATTCATCTAGTTAATTGGACTGGATTAGTTAAATACATTAATTTGAGAATTTCATAATTCCTTATTTTGCATCAGGTATATAAAAATGGTATATCAGACACACACAAAACAAAAAGCAAGGGTGATCTAAATATTTTCCAGATGGTAGATGCATAAATACATCTACAGCATTTGCAAGGCATTTTTATAACATTGCCATTTTTGAAGAAAACAAAGCAACGATGCATCATAATCAATGGCGATCTGAATTATTCATATAATGCCATTTCCTTATAATTCCTTCCTTATTGCAAGGAAGCTTGAGCTAGTGCTTTAATAACCTCATCCCAAATTGAAGATAAACAACAATAAAAGGAAAATATATACATTCGATTGAATGCAAAAAAATATATATATAATCATAATAATCAACAATGGAGTTTTATCTATCCATGACCGATTCTATTTAATGTAATTAATTTGATTAATTTTGTTCAGGTTTTTCCTTAGACAAAAAAACTTCACATTATTCAAACTCTTGATATACTCCATAATTAAAGCAGAGGTGGAAATGCATCATTCAATCGACTGGTGATTAAGTCATTTTTATAAGAGGTGACCAGCATCGTGAGCATCATCTATATTTAAGCCAATATTGCTTTTTTAATTTGACCCAAAAATTACTTAGACTATTGTTTAAGGAAGGTAATGATATGCAACAAATACAGTAAAAATCCAGGGTTATCTTAACCATCTATTTAATTTCTATCAAATATATAAAAAACACATATAATATTCAGCAAGAAACATTTGGAACCCCTGATCAAATCTATAACTCTGTTTCTGGATCACATTTGATTTCTAAAAAATAAAACATTACCATCGATGTGTATCATATTTGTGCTTAGGTGATTTATAGCAGTGTGGAATGATAAACTTCTCATAGCACCTGCTTTTTTTTTTTTGTAATAGGTGGAAAATAAAATTAGTCAAACCCGTTTCATTGAAGCAGAACACATCAAACAATGTTGTTACGGACGCTCGCCATGGCACCACTCCAGTCTTGTTTTGGCCACAGTTAACCAGTGCATGGATGCGGGGAATAACTGCAATTTGTTCATCAGTCCATCCAAACCTGAAAAAAGCAGAATATCATATCAGGTTATTTCGCTAAACTACTCTGTGGATTCATGTTAAAGGATTTCTGTGATCTCACCTGCATGTTTCCAAACCTCTGCTGAGGGCATCCTCCACCTGAGCTTTGGAGGCAATGCTGAGTCCAAGGTCCTGGCAGACCTTCCGGGCTTCAGAGGCATTGAAGGCGTACTGGTGCTGGTTTCCGTTGCCTAGGAAACTCACCTGTAGTACACCACCTATACTGTGGCCGGCTGCTGGGAAAACTAGAAGGAACACAGACTACAGTGATAAATTCTGCTGTTGACCAGATTTATGTAAAAAAAAACAAAAAAAAACAGTAAAAATCTATTCAGATGTCTTACCTCTGAAGTTGCTTTCAGTTTGATCAGAGGACACTAAAGAAAACCCCAGAAGAGAAGGGATGCACAACCAGATAATATTCATGACTGGTTAGAGGATGGATGAGGCGTGCTGGGAAAGCGGCAGTCTTACAGAGTTTGTGTTCCTCAGCCAACTCACTCGGTTAAATAGAGGTGAATCTGTTCTCTGGGGTGTGCTGACTGTCATTGCCAGAGAGTAAAGGAAAGGGAAGAGGAAAGTACTGAGAACGGGTCAGATCAAGAGCCATCTTATGTTGGAAGAGAGAACGACCCAGGAGAGAAAAAAATATAACTAAAACGTGAAACGAGACAAAGGTTTGAAGAAAGTCAAAGAACAGAACAAAAACCTATTATGGAGAGATGTTGAGATCAAAACTCGAAGAGGAATTGGAGCATGTTTGTGAAAGTTTTCATTATTTCCAACATCTGAACAGGGTGCCCTATGCTCAGGATTTCCTCTCTCGAGGCATTGCTCAATCGCATATGCACTTGTTATCTCTGGTATCCTCTGGTGAGCCTTTGGCACACGACGACATCCGACTTCCACATAATGATCTCTGCACAAGGCCTGGACACCAGGAAATGACGCAAAGCACGCTGACTGACACTTGCAGGGTTCTGTGGTCAGGAAGGTAAGTATGATAAATGACATCCTTAAGCAACATAAGCTCCAACAGGGTTTCTGTGACCATTCAACTACAATATGCCAGTTTGTATATACAGTTTACAAGAACATTGAATCATTTATAAAAGAGCATAGTAGATGTTTTCCAATTAGAAGAAATGAAAGCAAAGAAGTAGAATTTATCTGGTATATATTTTGATATTAGATCTTTCTGTGGTATCAAAATCGTCAAAGACTCTATCTTACCATATAGCAATGTGAGCTTATTCAGAAACTCAGATTAATACAAAGACTTTCTGTGTTGCAACATTTATTGCACATTATTATAAATAAGACAGAAATAAACTTTGAAATGACCAAATCCTCCACCCAGGTGCAGAAGACTTTAGATTTTGCTAATGCATGACTACATTAGCCTTACAAATACTAACACTAATGATCATTTTTGGCTCTAAGTTATAGTGACAGAAAGGTTTACATAAAGTGTAATGTGTACGATATTTGCTGTTTAAGTTTCAAATTTTTGTAATATTGGTGGCTGGCAGATGCCATACAGCATAGTGTGTCTAATTTAATAATTATATTACATGACTAAGTCGCTTTAAAGCTTTATAATTAATTCTGTACAATTAAAAAATGGTTTAACAGTTGCCGGCTTTTATATGCAAACAACCTGCTGCTTCTGACATCTGCCATTTTGGTTTGTAGCTTTTTGACTCACATGCAGAATACACACAGAGAACCAGTGAGTTTTAACTACTGATGGTATAAGATGAGCCTAGGCTTCGGGGCGGGCGCGTATGAAGGCTTGCTTCATTTGTTGGAGGAGCCAAAATAGATGATTTCCGAAGCCTCGCTACCACGTGGAAGTGGTTCAGCTCGCCCGGAACTTCGGCAGCCATTTAAACAGCCTCTGTGTTTAGCCAAGATGTGGTAGTTTGTTAGAGAGATGGATAGAGTTTGGATATATTCTAAGAATAGATTGGTTGGAAAAACAACCAGTCTAGTTGGTTAAAACTAGTTGGTTGGATTAAACAATGTAATGATCAAAATCCAAGCAAGCCACTGGTCACAGATGTAATTGGCATTAAGTAATATTACTTTCTTAAAGGTTATTATCTTGCTAGTGGTGTCAGCTGTAAGAGATGAAATTCTACTCCTGAGCTTACTGGTTCAAGATCCACCATTAACTTTCAAACGTTGCGATAAAACACAACAAGTATTTTGGCTAATGTGACTAATTTGTATTGGTTTGCCCTAGTAGAAATATAGATTGGGTAAAAACACTGCCAAATTAGATTGGTTGGTTTAACCAAAAGATTGGTTGAATACATAACTTCCGACCCGATTGAAACGAAAAACTGTGAAAAAACTATTATGTTTGAATAAAATGACTAATACCTTTCATTTTGCTCATCATTGCTCAATTTGCACAAGCACTTTCACTGTCTGGTTGAGTTTATTTCACTAAAATGGCAGAAAAACAGTGTACCTTAAATAATTTTTCCCTTTGAGGACATTTTACACAAAAAAAGTACAAAAGATTTTATTATACAGACCAATCATTAATAATTTCAAAGGATCTTAAATGGGGGGGAACATCAAAAACAATTGCAAAAAAAAAAATCACAGATTATATTACTAACTGTAGTTCTGCATGCACCCCACCAGTAGGTGGTGACATGTTCACATGAAGCTTCATGAACTGTGGGGATCGTTGAAGCACTTTGGCCAAATGGTTCAAATGTCTCATGAGGCTTCAGACTCTTCTCAATGTTACCCTTGAAAAACTGTGCCGAGACCGGTCCGAGCTCAGTAACTGAGATAACTTATGGTGTGTAAATGGAAAGCAAACTGAAATGAACCGAGCTAACTGCAGACCAGTTCCAGAGGTGGACTCGGCTCGGTTTTTCCTGGCTCGGTTCTCTGATAGCAAGAGCGCATGAGCAGAACGCGTCATCTCCGTCTGGCCGCACACCCCGATTCACACTCCGTTCCAGTAGTTGGCGCTAATGCCCCTCCGGAAGTTGCTTGCCACCAACACAAAAAAGAAGAAGAAGGGCAACCATAAACAACAATCGAAATCTTATCCACGCAACATTTTAAATAATGGCTTCAAAAGATCGTGGTGCGACCTGGGATGACGCCGAGACTGAGGCCGTTATTGCAATTTGGGCGGAGGACGTTATTCAGGAGATGTTGAAGGGCGCGAAACACAATCACAAAGTGTTTAAAATAATTTCGGACGAAATGAAGGTGAGGGGATACGACCGAGACCCGAAACAGTGCCGAGAAAAAATTAAAAAACTTAGAACACAGTACAAGAAGGCTCTTGACCACAATAACACATCGGGGGGAGGGAGAAAAACGTGGAAATTCTACGGTGCCATGGATAAAGTGTTGGGCCTCCGTGCATCGTCGAGATCTCCAGTGCTTTTCTCCAGTACCTCTTCTCTAAACTCTGCAGCAACAAGTATGTTCCCGAAAATCATTCATTTTTTTATTTTGATGATCTACTAAGAAATGTCTGTAGCTTTCCTTTTCATTCATTTTTTTTTTTCATTTTCAATTTTAGAGGACGATGATGCAACATCGGACCACCAGGAGCAGCATGAGTACAGCGCGCATGATGGTAAGTAGGCTCTACACCAGAGGTGCCCTATCTTTTTTAAACCAAGATCTACTTTTGAAGTTGATGGCATGCCGAGATCTACCAAGCCACACACAAGGGATGGGCAGTATTTGTTTTTTATTTGCAGAGGTGGAGAATAAACAGTAAGTCCAACAAACGAGGAAATTATCAATTGTCTCAAAAGATAGGTTGCAAAAACAGAACTTAACAATCTCATAGGAACTTCACACCATATTGCTCTCTCACTCACCAAAACTACAGAAAAGAGCAGTCAAGATCTCCAGACAAAGGCTGTGCAGTAAGAAAAATCTAAATAAACCAATTGATACACACACAGTCCAGAAGAGATGGAAAAAAACCAAAAAACGTTAGAACTGTAAATTTACAGTTATATATATATATATATATATATATATATATATATATATATATATATAATTTTCATTTTTTTTACTTTTCAAGGCTGCACTTTAAAAAAAAGATGAAATTGTCCAGAGAGCTGTTCCAAACTAAATTTCTTTTTGTTTTACACTAAAATCTGTCTAAGATCACTTCAAAGCAGGGAGAAGAAGGGAAGTCCACTATTTCAGTCCACTATATGATAAACTTCACTGGGCATTGGCAGAGTCAACAGGAAATCGGCTAAAAATAGGAAAATACGAAGTACAAACTATGTGGATGTGAAGATGTAACATATAGCAGAATGGGTTGTTGACTGTTTCAGAAACTCTTTAATTTCGGGCAAAAAAAAATCTTTCGAAGAATCTGTCACGACTCAGCCACCTGACGTCGGTGTGCAGCAGCAGATCAGTGTGGTCTGCACCTGCCTCCTCGAGCTGGGCACAGAATAAACACCTGTGTAAACTGCTGGCCCCGAACAGAGCAAGCGATCTTCATCACAACGTCCATGACATGCTTCATATTTAAAATATTGCTGCACAGCTGTTGTTGATGAATGATGCAATGGAAGCTCAAAAAATCTGGGAAAGTTTCAGACAGCTTGAACAGAGCAATGAATCCAGCTGTGTGCCCAACCATAGATGTCATTATCTCATTATCTCTTTAGATTCCTTTGTTATGAAAATACACATTGGCCTCTCGTGATCAATGATTTGATTAGTGTTTTTTAAAACTTTTTTTTTTCATAGCCATACATAGGTCTACATTGTAAAACTTCTCGCGATCAACTGAAATTCCCACGACTGACTGGTTGGGCACCCCTGCTCTACACCATTTCCACATTTATGATTCAAGAACTTTTGTTTACAGTATCAGTATTAAAATGCCAAATCTGCTGCCATTATAAAATGTGCTAAATGTAATCTTTATATCTATCAAATTTAAACGTTTATCATGTTTACTCTTATAATACGGCATTAAAAGAAGTAGCTGTACTTGTAAATTAATTAAGTGTGCATTTATTTCAGATTAAATATTTTTTTTTTTAATTGTCTTTGCTTTTTTTATTGCAGAGATGGATGATGAACAATTTCTCGACTCTACAATAATGGCATTCCTAAAAGCACAAAAACATTCTCATGACCTTTGGATGGTGGCATTTAAAGAACAGCAGGAGTCAGCCCAACGACATCAGCTCCACATGATACAAGAAATGGAAAGAAACAGACTTCAGGTAAAAATATATTTCTTTAATTAATCAAAAATTGTAATGTATACTTGACATGGACATAAATGGGTGTTTTTTATTTTTATTTTAACAGGCTGAAGAGAGACTGAGAAAACAACAACAGGAACATGAGATGCGAATGATGCAGATGATTGTCCAACTGATGACACGGCAACCAGCACAATTACAGCCTCTGTACCCTGCATCCCCTTCGACTTCTGTGCCAAACTTTTCAAATTAGGGACCATATCAATAATTGTAAAATATGTAACTTTTTTATTGTTTTATAAATGTACAATACATAACATGTTTATACAAAAATTGTTTTCGTTACTGACTCTTTCAAACTATACACCTCACTAGTAATTGCAAAAATATATCTTAAACTCAACTGTAAGAAACTATTTACAATACATAAAACATTTAAGTCAATGTAGGCTAATTTTGATCTGCAAAGTAACGGCAGAGAGCATTTCTTATATTGTGGGCATTGTTAATATCAGGATTATTATCTCCATCGACCAAACTGTTCCTAGGTGGCTGATTTGCCTCATTGGCCCACTGTTCAAGGAAATCCTCTCCTTGCGTCTCACAGATATTGTTGTAGAGTACAGCAGGCAGCGATGACATTCTGACAATTTGATGTCTTGTTGTCAACTCGCTTCAAAAGCCTTCTCCATCTCCCTTTTAGCCGCCCAAAGGCGTTCTCTACCACCATCCTGTTACGGCTATGGATGAGGTTGTATTTTTGGGGGGCTTCAGTTGTCCCTGCATTTTCTGGATAAGGCTTCATCAGCCAGGGTAAGAGAGGGTATGCTGGATCGCAAAGTATAACAGGAGGTACCATCACACCATCAATTTCTGTTTGAAGATGGGGGAACACACCATTTTCCCAAAACTGGTATAAACGGGAGTTGACTGAAACACGAGCATCATGAGTGCTTCCTGGCTATCCAATACAGAGATCTCTAAACATACCTGTCTTCTACAGGTGCTTGCATATTGATACTATACTAACCCTTTCTATTAAAATAATCAACTCTGCTTTCCTTGGGGGCGACAGTGGGTATGTGTGAGCCATCATTAGCACGTATGCAAGTAGGGTATCCCCATTTTTCTTTAAATGACTCCATAATATCTCTATATAAGTGGGTAGCTTTAGGAACTGTGGTGTCAGATGAAATCATATTGCCTCACAAACATCCTTGACAAAGATGCACAGTGAGGCTCTGGATATTCCAAAAAGGTGAGCAATGGTCCAATAATCTGATGTGGTTCCAAGAAACCAAAAGACAGCACCAACTTTCTGCTGCACAGGAATAGGCTGTCGCATATTTGTTTCTGCCTTGGAGACATGAGGACTGAGCGACTAACAAAGCCATTTGAAGGCTCTGTAGCTCATTCTGTTTTTCATCTTATTAATTCCGAAATCAAAACAAGTAATGGTTTCATACATTTCATTGCTTTTCAGGGAAAAAATGGGCCTATCAGTTGAAGTATTATTAACGCTTTTTTAAAAAATGGTAGAGAAAATCAGCTATTTTATGTGTTTTTATTATATGAAGTTTTCGATCCATTGTTGAGGGTTAAATGTCTCTCTTACTATATAAAGCCACCAGTGTTCGCTCCGCTCTTTCATCCCAACCCTTCTGTAAGCACAACAAAAATAAGGGAGACTTTAAAAAAAAGCGAAATAATACATATAAAACGCGGACAGCTAATGGAAACAACAGGTAACAAGCCTCTGCAATCATGACATTTCAGATATTTATAAAAAATACTAGCTTCCCTACCGTGCCACACGGTTTCCAGTGATGACTTGGCTCAGCAGTGTGATGAACCTCAGGGTCTGTTGCTGTTTCCGGTGTCTGTAAACCTGGAGTCCACGTTAATTTGTCTGATCCACGTCCCAAAAGCTGACTTTCTCAAGTAAATCCACGAAAGGTTGCTGTCTTCGCCTGGCTCTCCGCAAACACCGAAGTACATCAATAATAATCAAGCATAACTTTCTGAATGTGACGGGCGCCGCCATTTTGATTTGCTTGATTGCCTCCTTCTTCGTCGTCTTCTTGTGTTTTATGGCGGTTGGCAAACAACTTTTGGTGCATTACCGCCACCAACTGCTTGATTTCTTTCTTCAATACTGGCAGTAATACCGCAGATCGTCACTAGGAGGCGAGGAGTCGAGGAACCGAGATAGCGTGATGTGTTAACGGTCGTCAGAACCAAGCTCGGCCTGGTTAACTGATCCGAGCTCGGACCGGTCTCAGCATGGATCGGTTTTTCAAGGATAGTGGAAATGGGGTATATGTGTATTTGTGCGTTCTCATGTGCTCGTGCACTCGTAATTAACAAAAAATAAATTCTGAAGTTGAGAGGAGCGCGGAAACCAGCAGACCTCCGAGGGTAACGACGGCCAGGTCTAATCCTAGCCCGTCTGCAGCAGCCTTCTCTCGGCATAGCCATGTGTGAAACACCGCTGGCTCTAATGGCGAGTTTTTGGTTTCATTTGGCAAAATGTTCATTTGAGTTGTGTTTATCTGTTTTAACTATTATTCCTCCAATTAATGAAAAAGGTAAGAATTTCTTATTATCTAGAGACTATTAATAACAGGAGGTGAAATGCAGCTCCAGACGAGCTGAGCGTGTGGCGACGTCACCAGTACGCATCTGTTCCAATTGACCTAGATTTATGCTGCGTGCTCCCGTTCTCCCAAAGTCCACACTTTTCTGTGTTCTTCTCAAGAGCATACTTGGTGAGGACACGAGTCCGTACTCGCATTGTTGTGAATTGAGAAACAGCTTTCATCTCACCATCACTAGTTTTAACATTTTATTTACAAGAAGCAACAGGAATCTGGAAACAGAGAACTGCAGGAAGTCAGTTGAACTTTATGGTTGATCTGAGGGGAGAAAGCAGACTGATCAGGAAGAGGTTGGTTGATGACAACTGATGGATTTGCATATTGGAGATAGACGGGAGGTAGCGTAGATCTATAGGGGTTTGATTCAGCCGGCTTTGAGGCTGAACCCAGAGGTCCAGGAGAATGTGAGTGAAATCTGAGATCATTGGTACTTGCGAGAGTGTTGGAGAATGGACAGGCAGGTGAGAACTGCTGCACACAGGTAAGACGTTTTGCATGAAGCTCTTACATGAACTGAGGTTAACTGGCTGACTGTCCAAATGAAAAGATATTCACAAGAAAACATATTCCTATTTTTGGTCTTTGGTTGAAATACCATCAGGGGTGATCATCCTGAAGAAGAGAGATGATCCTTGCCCTCCTAATGTATACTAGTCATCTTGACTGAGAAATGTTCTCAGGTGTGCAGCAACACAGGTCAGCCCAGCCACCAGCAAAGATCCTCTCTGTAACAGGAAACTCACACCAAAAAAAAAAGCAAAACCCCAGAGACCCTAACAATATCACTCATTTGGTAAGCATACACTATTATTATTATTATTAATAAATCTCCAGAGTGTGTCCGTAATGACGGCTGGAGACAGCAGCCCCTGTAAGGATTTAATAGGTTTGGTAATAATGAATGCCTCGATGGATTATTAAAAGACGAATAAATGACAGATTTATTCTCAGATACCCTTTATTTAAAGGTAAAGTAGCAAAATAATTTTCAACCCAGGGACTCAGAAAAGTTATCTAAAAAGTGCTCTATAAACAACAGCTATCTGTCAGTGCTCTAAATTATAAATTATACAACCTCAAAATATTGCACTTAAACAACTTCTTGGTATCCGCATATGCCTAAACCTTAAATGCCCTTTACAGAACCTAACCAACAAATGCACATGTTTAAATATAGATGAAAAAAAAAGTGTTAAACTAGCTGATAAACCTTTTTTTTTTTTTTTTTTTACTGTGGCATTTTAGAGAAGGTGCCATTTTCAAAAACACTAAAATCAAAATCTATTCTTAGGTTCCATCGATGAATTAAACAGATTTCATCACTCCGTATCTTTGGTCCCTAAACCTAACTCGTTATTTTTTCCTCCAATAAACAGATAGAAAATTCTCTGTTCCGAACAAAAATACAACTAATGCTGAAAAAATAAATCCAGCGTTAAGCCTTCATCTCCCGTCAGTCTTTCCATTCAAGCCTATCTGTAATAAACTGCTAGTATGGCAGAAATAGTTTTTTTCTCAGCTCTTCCTCCTTATACTTATTCCAGACTTTGCTGAGCCTCCTAAAATGTCTCCTATGTGTCCTCACGGCGGTTGTAGTAGTCACTGAAGAATGTGAATATACTGATAAGCACGCACATCAAAACAAACAGCATCAGGATGACCCAAAGCAGGCGGCGGCTGACGGAGATTGAGGGGCAAAACCGACTGAGAAGAACCAGTACTTCCTCCATCCTCCTGTGTAGGAAACATAGACGGATATTTTAAATAACATTCCTTTAACAATTGGCAATAAGGCTCTTATATCATGTTTTCATGAGGAAGATCTAGATGGAGAGATGTGGTTTGATTTCTAAGTAATTCACTTTAGAGCTTTATTAGCTGTGTTGAGTTATATACTGTTAAAAAGCATAAAATATTTATACTCTTGATTTCTCTTAAAGGTGAATAGAATACGTTTACCTGCCGCTCTTATACCTCTTTCCACTTTCCTCATCCTTGTGCCTAACTTCCAGCAGCTTCTCTGCATCCAGTTCCTCTGCCTGTTTCTCTTCCAGGAGCATCTTGCTCTGCTTTAGCCCCTCTTGGTAGCTGCAGATGATAAGGAGCGTATTTCACCTGCACTTGATCTGCACACAGCTTTTACTGACTAATTTAATGATTTGGGTTTATTTATTTTTTTCATGCATAAATTGCACACAGTCACCTTTACCTTTTATTTAAAGCAGGAGGGTTCATGAGACTTACACAAATAAATTATTTGCTTTACTCTTCCTTAGTTTTTTTGAAAAATAGCTGATTCTTCGTGCATGTAGGGAATCATTTGGTGTGTAAGAAAATGGGTTTTCTGTATAAAGGGCTTATTGAAGAGTGAGGGAGATAGATACTGATTATAGTGAGATCCTGGTATAAAATAAACACCAGCAGCTGTCACATTATTCTCTACACTATGCTGAGAACAAACCACAGTCCTCCATACGTCCAGGGCCTCGGCTTATTAGAGGCGCCACGCCATCTAGATATACCTCTATATGTATTTAGGGGTCCATCAGCATCCCAGATCATGGAAAAACACTGCTCTTATGGGATTTGCTGTCACAGCAGCCTGCTGTTTCCATAGGCTGTCGCTACCTGACAGCTGCAACTAATAACAAAGATGGCGCAGGCACCATGCGGTGGAGGAGAAGTTAACTGAGTTTGTTATAGAGTCCAATATATAGCCCCCCCTCTGTATAGTGATTGAGGGATTTAGGGGTTAGGGCGGAAATTCGGACACAATAAGCTCGTATGAGCTTTGAGAACAGCAACTTTTAAACAGAGCGTGCATGAGGAAAAATGGGCTTGTGCACGCTCTTGCACGCTTTCTCTTTTGGGAGCGGGTACAGGGTTGTGCATGTGCATTTTGTGGAGAGGCCGGGTCTTTTTTTATAATATTAATATTTGTGATCCTCCACATTACCTTTAAATAATAATAAACATTTCATTTAAAAGGAGTGTGTGGACTTTGAGATTTATTATGTTTCTCCTAAAGTAATGTTTTCCTTAAAGAACTTTGAAATGTTGATTAATAATCTAACATTAATCAACATTTTTGTCTTTAACAAATGCTAAACCCAGAACACTCCACTTCAATAAATATTATTCTGACTGTGGCATAACTCACTATGGTGTACAAAATGGCAACTGCTGTCTGAGCGAAAGTTTTTCTCTATATCTCTAAAAGGACCTTTTCTAATTCCTATGTCTGTAGCAGAATGTCTTGATACAAAGAGATCTTAAAATAGAAAATTTCTTTGCCACAAAATTTAATGGACTTCTTCAGAGTTGGATGGTAAGTAAGAATCAGAAAACCATAAAATATACATCTGGTTTAGGGTTGACTGTTTCAATATTCCACTTTTTGAGGAGAGCAAAATAAGCTTCTGGGTTGTTACAAAACCAACGGCTTACGGTCAATAAAAATGTCATAACAAAAGAGAAAGCCTCACCCTTTATCGTATGCTTCCTCCTCGATCTTTGCCTTGATCTCGGCTCTGATCTCAGCTCTGATCTCCTCCAAGTTTACTGGAGGTTTGGGTGGCTCGCTTTCCGGCACCGTCCCACTCTTTCCACTGCATTGTTTCGGATAGGAAAGAACAGAGCAGTCAGCCTTGGACAGAACGAGTATCATGGCAGACATTATAAAACATTCAATGAAAACAATGTAGGCATGTGTTATGAATGGACTCGCGGCTGCAAGTGCATTAACAGCAATGACATGGTGAACACAAACAGAACAAGTGGAGCTGGCACGATTGTTATTAGCCTGAGAGAAAACATCTGGCTTGACTGAATCTCACTTTATGACCACATTATGACTCGTGTCTGTACTCTATCAGCCTCTTTCCTAAATGTTTAGATTAAATCTACATTTTTTTAATGCCTTTAGAGGTAGTTTTAGCTCACTGTTTTTTCTCTGGATAGTAAAGCCCATCCTGCAGGACTCTCAAATAAAGCAAAGTTCCTAACGTAGCTCAAAAAGCTTTGAAGAGAAATAATAAGAAGCTGGGAATCTCTTCTGTGTCCAACAATGCAGGAAGACCCATGAAAGACTAGACATGCATGTTGTGTTTTCAAAGAAACATACCACTCGCCTGCCGGTTGAACTGCTTCTGTAGGAGAGCTGCTTTTGACATCATTTGCTTCACACTAAAAAGAGAAGTCATATAATCAAAACTATGAGTCTGATCTATATTTTTACACAATTCTTCATCTGAAATAGAAATAAAAAGATGTTTGTCAAGTTTTTTAATGTTTTAAAAGGGCTGAGTCATTACTGATGATCTGGCTATGTGGGTGTCACTGCATAAGATCATTCATACATAATTTCCCACCATGACAGAAAAAAAAAACAACTTACTAAGACAGGAAGGGCAGCCCCTGCTGTAGGTCCCGCACTGGAGCCCGGCCCGGCAGCGGCTGGGGTCTGACCTGGGATGTTGAGAAGGTTAAATTTGGGTACCACTGCTACGCTCACCCTGCGTCTGGGTAAAGCCTGTAAATGAAACAATGGAAAAAATAATTAAAGCTTCTGATGTTTTTCTTTTTTAATGAAGGCTGAATTGTTTAACAGATAATCATTACTGATTACCTTTCCAAGGGTGAGGGACATTGATCTTGATGATCGTGGAATGCCATCATCTTAACAAAAACACATACAAATAAATGCTGATTAAATAGAAAGCAACATTGGCTCTCTGTTGGATAGTTCTAATAAAAAAAAATGCCTAAAGATAAAAATGGGAGAGCAGAAAACGTAGAAATCAGACTACATGTCTTTTCATTGATTTACCTTTCACCTGCATGCATTGCTCCTTACCTCCTGTGTCCACAGTGGCGCCATAACACCGGTTAGAGTTCTGGTTAGCCAGTTTCTTAAACTCCATCAGCTCTGCATGGTCCTTCTCATATGTCCTCTTCAGATTTTCCACATATTGCATCATCACCTCAGTGGCTTTGTTCATACGTTTCTCCTGTTTGACAATAAAAAAAAACTGTGCATGAGGCCACAAAGACAGGAAGTAAGCTTTCACTCTCAATGGTAAATCAAACAACTTTTGATTTATTAAGCTTTAAAGCTACTACTCAGAATTTTCCCAACAATATACTGAACTCAATTGTAGTTTTTTTCATCTGATGACATCAAATCCGGCTTTTTAGCATTTTTCAATAGGGTTTTATTTCACATTGTTGTTTTTAGATGTAAAGATATATTTCACGGAGTTGCAGGAGAACTCCTGTGCCATGTTTTAAAACAATGCATGAATTTCTGACCAATTGTTGCAAATGAAAACCCATGGAAGGACCACAGCAAGCTGGAATTAACAGAATTTATCCAGGAAGATGTGCTGCTATCGTTGAGAATGCGAGGCAGTGTGTGTCAGTGTGAATTAATGATTAAATGTGGATCTGCCTAGGTTAGACCTTTCCTACCTTCACATAATGCAGAATTATAAGGCTTTTTTAGGACACTGTTTTTTCTAAACTTTTAACTTATAAAACTTAAACGCATTCTGGCTAGTTGAGACCTTCTTCTTTGATATATGATACACATCAGGAGTAAATCAGTCACAGGGAAAGGAAACATGCATAAAAGTAGCATAAGGCCATTCAATTCTAAGGTTTACCTTGTCAGAACAGGTTATAAAACTTCAAACACTGCCAGCTCCTACAAAACGAAAACTAACATGGAAAACATATCTATGAAGAAAACTTGTTTTTTATTTTGTAGGATGTTAGAAGGAAATGGCAGACATGTGCTGCTGGTAACCATATCCATAAAACCAGGCGTTTGGTTCATTTGTTTACATCTTGCTGCAGACAAAGGCCCTCGGATATCACATTAGAGGTGCAATTACTGCTGCCTGTCATTCAGAGTAGGGACATGAGTCTATTTCAAAACATCATAAAGTCAGAAGTGAAAAATTAATCCCAACTTGAACTATATTATCAACAGTTCCAAACAGTTTTAGTTATCTCAGGTCAGAGCAGAATAAAAAAAAAATGTGCATAAACAAACAAGCTTGGCTAATCTCGAAAGGTTGTCAGAAGAAAGCCTCCATCTCAAAACCATACAGTAGTACAACTTTACCCGCAATATTTTTGGAATAATGTTGTTTGAAAAAGATAAGGTCTTATTAGAGATGTTTTAATATGAATAAAAGCACCATGTTATTAAATAAATGCAGCATAAGCCCAAAACTTCATAGGAATGCTAAAGCATGGTGGTGGAAGGCTGATGATTTTGGGGTTGCTGTAGTCAAAGAACCAACCAGGACCTATTCTGCATGCCAGACTCTTCTACAGTCAAATGTGAGGCCCCTTGGGTGAGAGCTGAAGCTTGGCCAAAACTAAACCTTGAAAGGGAAAAGTCCTCTTCAGCATAGAAAAGAATCTGAGCCATAATGTCTAGAAATGAGAGAAATGTAAATATGACAAAGGCTAACCCTCAAACTGACAAAAATGTTAAAGGGTGACTGCTGATTGAAGAAACAAAGTTGGGTTTTTTGTGCATAGAGTTTTTCTATTTTAGGTTAATCTTTGTTAAAGAAACTGCGACAGCAGGAAATCTACAAGTATTGTCTATTTGTACTCTTGGGGTTAGATTGATATTATTTTAAAGATTTAGGCCATCTAGAAGAATACACCTTCTTCAGAACAAAGCAATGCGATACACAAACTGACACACTATGACTTGGTGGATGTAATAAGATCTGCACAGTCTAGCTGGAGAATAATGACTAAATTTTCTTCTGTTATAAAAAAAACTACAACGGTTTACCAATAAGGTTTTCATGTATGGAGAATTCAATGAGCTCATTACTGGATCTAAAATCTGAATATATGGTATAAATGTAGTTGAATATTTTGGACTGATATGTGGGGCAATTAGATCAGCTAGGACTTTATGCTTCTGATATTACATTTGGTTTTGATCAGGCTTGAATTTAAAGGCAGCTGGACTTCACTCAGTTTTTTTTAAGATGTTTCAACATCTCTCCAGGAGTTTTGTCAATTTGGGTGCAAGCCAAAGGAATTGCCAACATGCAATTCTGTCTTTGTTATATTATAAACCTGTTTTGTGGTTATCCTGATCTGGATGACTCAGAGTTTACATAGGCAAACTTAGCTTCGATCTCTCTAGCGCATATTTGTAATTAATCATGTTAAGTGTCATGATCTTGGCACTGATGTTTGGGCTTATTACTCATTTCACACACTTGTTTAGCTCCGCCCAGTTCTCATTACCTGCTTCTCTGATCCACCTTTACTAGTCTCTATTTAACCAGCCTTCAGACCAGTTATAAATGCCATATTATTTCCGAGCCATTGGTGAGACTTATTCTAGCTTTCCTGTGTTCTGATTGCCTGATCCTGACCTCTTCTGCATCTTGACCTCTGAGCCTGGCTGTTCCCATCTGATCTGTTTGCCTGAACTGTCCTCTGACTCCTGCCGGATCCCTGCCTGTCTGTGTACCAAACCCTTAACTGTTACCCGACTCCGTCCTGGATTCTCCCTCGGCACCTCAGTGGATCTCTGACCTCCTGGCTCTGACAACCGAGCATGTAATGGACATCAGCTTTGGCTTCGCCCTCTGGATTATTCTGCCTTCCTTTGTCTGTTTGGATCAGATCACCTGCCAGTCTTCTGACCACTGATACATCAATGGCTGGGACTTTCTGTGCGGCAACCGCCAAGCTGTGTTGGCAGCCGACCGGCTGGAACCAACCTCACCCTCTGGGCTCGAACTGAACTATAAGACCAGGTTAGTGAATCACATGTTCGATATTATCCACTTCCAGATAGAGGTCCTCACTAACCTGCTGTCTCCTCCTGCAGAGTTTCCTGCCTTAGATGCTGCTCACTTTGATTCAGTTTTAAATAAATGTTTTGAGATATCTGTTTATCCGCCTGGAATACTAGATCCTACTGTTCTGAGCCTGAAAGTTAAGCTTAATCAAAGTTAATACATTATTAAATTAATTGGTCAATGGTTAAATAGGACACTAGGCAAATTAATTCAAAGAAACTTTTTAAGAGCTCTTTAATAGATTAATTAGATAAAAAAAACGTAAAGCTGTTTTAAAGATGATTATATTATATATATGAGATAGATGATGATCTAATACCTTTGCACCATATGTTTGTGTAACTGTACCTGACGAACTGCACCAACTATTTCTGCTCTGCTAGAGAGTCTGGTGGTGAGTCGGTACAGCACTGCCACTGTCTCTATAAGGCGTTGGTAGGATTCTCGTTGCTCCATGTTCTGCCACTGTGGTGCTGTCATCTGCAATAAGGAACATAACATCAGGCCACAGTTTAAATCGGTGTCCATTGAATAGGCTTGCCTATATCTCCTAAACACGGGAAACATCCAAACAAAGCTTCTGTTTTATAGGCCGACCTTCAACGCTCCTTTGAATTCCTCCAGCTCTTTCTCAGTGTCTTCCTCTGTCAGGTTCCTCTCCCTCTCCGCTTGTTTGAGTCGCGTCTCCAGAGTGTAGTTGTCATTACGAAATGCAAGAGACAGCTGGACGAATGCATTCTGCATAGGGGTAATAATACTTTTACTCACACATTAAACATGTCATTAAACTGCTAAAGATAGAATTACTTGAAAGGTTTTCTGAAGTAAAGCAAATAGACGCTAAATGAGAAAAATAAATAGTGAGCATATGAGGGAGAATCAAGCGACCCGAGCGTGGGGAACAAGCTGTGAGTCTGACATTTGACCTTCTGGTGTTTTGCTTTGTTGATCAAAGCCACTCAGCTGAATTTTCCAACACAGGGCCCACCTCTGGGAGGAAACATATGACCTCTGACTGTCCTGATCCAGACTCATCCCTAAGGGAGCAGCGAGTAAGGCTGCAGCAAGAGCACAACAGCGTCACAAATGTATGCATTTTCTCCACAGGAAATCGCTGGGAGTCTCTTTGGCCTGATCAAGAGCAGAAAAACACTTTCCTGTTGACAGAAAAGCACCAACTCCAGGCGGGATGAATTTTGTGACAACTGCGTAATTAAGCCGTTTGGCAGCAGGTCAGGTTATTACAAATACACGGAAAGGGTTCAGTCAGTCCATCTGTTTCCACCATTAGAACACAATACACTGTTTCAGGCTGACAGACTACAGAGGCTATTGATTTTATGACTTGTCCATGTAGGATTTATATGTACTGTATGTGATTAAACGTGAGGTCATTTTAGATTCGTTTTCTTTTTGAGGGTCATACAGCTTCTTAAAGGGTTAATTTTATATTTTAACTTTTTCTAGCAATGGAAAGCTGTTTGATTGTTATAGATGTGGAAAAACAGATTCATTTTCATCCAACAACTGAGCAAACAGCTGATCAAAGTGACAAAGCAAATTACTGCCATCCAAAGGCCCACTAATCATCTTCATCATGTAAACATTTAAACCATTGTCCCCTTTAGTGAAGTTTATCATGCAAAACATGATGATTTTTTTTATTTCTACCAAAGAAAACATTTTTCATCAGTTTATTTAAAGAGGGTGTTTCAGATAAAAAATTTTCTTGCAAATGTTTTTTTTTAAAGCTCTTACATGACAGAGCACTTTCTAATGCTACTCTCAAACACACTATCCTACCTCTGTATTAGATGCACGATGAGTATTGCTTCCATATTTGTCTTTGCATGTGTTCATTGCTGTAACAGTTCTAGGTTTGTTTATCTAATTTGAATTTTCATTATTTTTATAATAGGGCAGACAATTTCCCTGGAACTGACCCCATCTTGCCTTCTTGAGTTAAGCTTATTTTAGGCCGTCAGACAGCCATTTAGTGCAGATATGATATTAACTGCTGATAACAGCTACACAAAGTCCTCCTCTAGACAAACATGTTAAATTATCATGAGAAACAATATTGGCTAGTTTTAAAAGAGGACATTTATTCTAAACATGTTTCAAATTTGTTTATATGGGTTTATAGTAAGAAGGGAAAAACGGAAGCACAACTTTGTTTTCTGAAATCTTCATAATAGTTTTTACTGTGAAAACAAAGGAAAAACCACTAATATGAGCAGGCTGAAAATGTGAAACACTTCTTCTGATGTGCTGCCTGAACTTTTATACATAATTAAAATCTAAAATACAATGTTCCTTCTAAACAATAAAGAAATTTTCAATTTTTTATGTATTTTAGAGATTTGCTGAGTTTAACTGTTTTAACTTTTAGGGCATCAAACTGCTCAAAACAGCTCAACAGCTACTGATTACTGGGACAAAGTCGAATAAGTTACAGTGTTAATAACATCTTATGCATTCAAAGAATGATTAGAAGAGCAAATAATTAAAGTATTGATGAATGCATAAGTTGTGAGTTTAAACAGGCACAGCATTTTTATCTACAGGGATCAGTTTGTTTTATTGTGAAAGAAGAATTTATTAAATGATTAATTTTTTGAAAGATTTGATGCACAAATTTTTAATAGTCTTTGATATGAGCCTTTTTGATACACAAATATCCCCTGTATCTCTGCAGATTTAAAAAGCTATCAAATGGAATAGACTCGTTCATTTGACTGATTTCTTAGAAATGGGAAACATTTTAATCTCTGTAATACTGTTTCTACATGGAAAAAATGAACTCTACAACCATCAGAGAACTGATACCAACCTCAACTTCTTTCTCAGTGAGCGCAGGTGCACTAGAAAGATATGAAGGGAAAAGAAATGTTAGCAGAGAAAGAAATATACTTATTCAACAAAGAAAGGAGGTTTTGTTTTGATCCAGCGAGACAGAAAATGTCAAAAGACACACCATCCTGGCAGACCTCTGTGAAGTTTCAGTTTTCTTAGCATCACATCTGAAATGTTTGGCATGGCGTCAGACTTCTCCTTCATCTCCTCGCTGCTTGATGTCTTAGCAGAAGGTGGAGCTGCTGCAAACACATATAAGTCCTTCAACTGTGTTTCATCAGAAAATAATGGAGCAGCTTTGTGGTTATATATTTTTACAGTCCACAGATTACAACTCTGAATAATTTTCTTGTGCCATAAAAAAAGGTGTTTGTTAGCTCACATAATTCAGTAAACATGTCATCTGCTGTTAAAGAATAAAACTGTCTTTGTGTTTGCCGTTAAATAGTTGGTACGGAAGAAAAAGAAACAGCTTATTATCATTAATGTGCTGGAACACATTTGCTCTAATTCAGAGAGTATACACCCCTACTGATGGAACGAAATGTCCAGCTGGACGAAAGCATTTTCTGTCCTATGTGAGGACTTTGTGTTTAATGCTGTTACCCTTTTCCTGCTCTGCAGCCTCACTCAGGTCTGGTAACTTGGAGCCAACTATGCTCTGGTTACGGATCAGCTTGTGCTCCTGAGAACAGGAATGAACACGTTCCTTTTTAAAATACTTAAACAAGGCTGAATTTAAAAAGATTACATGGTGATCCCAAAGTGTTGTCTGCAGAGTGGTGGTTTTACCTCTCTGAGCTTGGAAAGTTTCTGTATGCTGCCCGGTTGGGCTTGTAGATCCTTGTACAATGAAGACTTGAACACATCATCTCTGGATTTTTCTGAAAAAACCTCGTCAACTGTAGGTGGTAAACCAGGGGCTCCAGTTTTTGAATTAATGCTGCCAACAGCATCCCATGAGACAGCCCTCATCAGCGGAGGGAAGGAACCGATTGTTTTGATCTCCGCTGTGCAGGGGGCCCGCTGAGTAGGGGGCCTGGGGACCGGTTTGGCCACCCCTGTGGCTGGAGGAAGGTTTGGGTTTCGACCAGAAACCTCATCTGCTTTGCTGACAGCCTGTGGGCTCTTAGGTCTGGAGAGCTCATGTTTCTCCTTCTGAACAGCAAAGCGAGGCGTAAGCACTCCAGAGGACACTTTTCTTTTTTCAGTCGTCTTAGAGTTCACTGCTGGCGGCTCATCCTACGGGCGGCAAGAATAAAACATTTCATATCTCTGTTAGAAACATTTTGATGCCTCTCATTGTTTAAAATTCGCCAATAAAAAACCCCAAATGTAAGTTCGACTTGACTTAAATACTTTTTTGACAACTTTAAAAGCAGACTGAAGCTGAAGACAGGTGCTTCAAACCATCAATGATGCTAACTGCTATCCTAACTAATTTTTATTTTTTTTTATGGTTTAGGATTAATTTCAAGATAGTTAAAATCATGTAAAAATCACTCTCTTTGTAAACATTTATTTTAGTCGTTAATGAAGGCAGATGATCCTATCTGCTAAGTTTAGTTTATTTCACCCAAATAAAGAAAGGCCACTATTGCCATACTATCAGTGACGTGCGGTGAGGTTCATAGCTGGTGAGGCACTGACGTCATCAGAATCAGATTTGCAAATAGATGCATAGATTGACAGCAGTTTACAGGTTATGTTTCACTTCTGCATCCTTACACATACAAACTGTAGCTCACAAAACACACATTTCCTTAAAAAACAAAACAAAATAAATGTTATTACTGTCTTACCTTTACTTATAAATGAATAGAAGTCCTCCTTATCTTCCTTCAGTTTTAAAAGTCTCTCTGTCTCAATGGAGATCACTGCCAGGGAAGAAAGCCTTCCTTGATCCGTCCTGTTCCTGCCTTATGTTTTCAGTCTCTTGAGCACCCCCTGCCATGAGGCAAGAGAACTGCCTGCCTCACCTCGAACTTGTTCTCTGCCGTTTATAATCGCTCATTACACGAAACACGTTACACAAACACAGTTGGTGACAAAAAGCTCTGTACATTATATACATAAGCCAAATTATTAGAAATAAGTTCACATATTACATTTGTTTAAACCATTTTATTGACGCCGTACAGCAACATGCTCTCTCCGCTTTGCAGCCAGCGCAGAGCCAGGGGTTGCGCAATCCAAGGTGAGGCAGAGCTCGCTGCTGCCTCACCGGCATCGCTTCCAAGCATTTGAATGGGAAAATAAGAAAATTCAGCGATTTTGAACAAATAAAAATCGAAATTGGTGAAGCTACATGAAAAATGAATATTTTTTAGTACAAACCACCGGATGAATATAACAATTTAAATTACTTTATGATTATATATTTTCTTTCTTTCCATGATGGCTGGTGAGGCACTGCCTCACCTGCCTCCCCTGACCGCACGTCACTGCATACTATAGTCCCCTATAAAGAAAGCGCAGCTCTGTATCCTTGGAAACATTAGCTAAGTTTGATAAGCCTCCATCATGCAAACTGAAAGCGTTGAATTATGGTTCATGTGCAGCCATCAGACTTCTTTTTTTAGATGTATAATTCATGGTAACATAAGAAAACATGCAGCAGATCCACGGCGCTCACCTGGTTCTGGTTCTTTAACTCAGACTGCTCTCTCGCTTTGGGCAGCTCTAAATGCTACAAGAAAAATGTTGTTTTTCTTTTGTTTAACATCCTCAATAATAGAGTGCTGTATTTAATGATGGTAAGAATTTAATTTCAGCTATACTGTAATCCATCAATACTTTGTTACGTATGGATGAATTTCGTTATCGTTGTGAGTTAGAGTCATTTGCTTACCTGACTGACTGCCTGGGGGCCACTATGTGTGGCTTCTGTGGTCCCTGTAGTTGAAGAAGAAGAAAACTACTTAGAAAACAAACAAGTTGAAGAAGAAGAAAACTACTTAGAAAACAAACAAGTTGAAGAAGAAGAAAACTACTTAGAAAACAAGCAAACTAAAAGACTTTAATCATCATCAGACCTGACTAGTTATCTAAGACCATGTGATGGCTGCAACTACAGCCACCCAAATGTGGTAACATTCAATCACATCACACACTAGGTCAGCCTGTCTCAATACATTTATATTGGGATTTCTTTACATTTAGGATTTAATTTACAGAATAATTTTTGTAAGGAAAGGCATAACACTGTATTCTAGAATAAGTGCGCACATTTTAGTTTACACTGTTATGTTCTGCTTGATTTAATCTTTGTTTGTTTTTTTGAGTCACCTCAGTGCCGGCTGCTCCAGTCCTTCAGGAGAACAGAGGTGGAGAAGGGGTGGAGCCAGCCCATTGAAACTGCAAATTGGTTTACACCACTACTCATCAGCAAGAGGGGGGGAATGGGATTTTCCTCTGTTAATTTCAGTTAGGTTTTTATGTGTTTCCCCCTTTGAATCTTCTATGTGGCCTAATCAGCCAGTATTTAAGTTTCCCCTTTGTCTCATGTAGCAGGTCTGTTTGTTTCAGGAGGTCTTTTTGTTAGCCTGAGTTAAATTCTGTTACTTTGACCTCTTTTATGGGCCCAACTTTGTAATTTGTCCTTTATTGACCCAAGTTCTTTGTTTTGGGTTCAATAAAAAGAGGACTTTTTTGGATCCCAACCTGTGCCTGATGTTCCTTTGACTGCTCAGACCATCACAGACCAGTAGGTTTAAACTCAAAAAAGCGAGTTTTCACCCAACTGTATTGGTGTTCTTCTAAAACCAGACAAAAACTGTATTTACAATCGTTAACACACCTTTTAGAAATACCAGACTTATGCTGGGTGTTTTTCTTTTGTCGTTTATTTTTCTTTTTGTACCTGATTAAAATCACAGTCCTGGCGATAGTAAGATAGGAAGATGGCGGCGCGCAGAGTCGCAGCGGCCCGGGATACTAAACTTTTTAGTAGCTTTTATGTTTTTTTGGTGGTAGTTTTTATTATAATGCACAGTTATAGCACTCTTGCACTACAATACAGCCGGACCGAACTATTACAACTCAATCGCGGTGCACAGTACCTGCCGATCGGACACTATACCATCCCTCCGGAGATCATCAAACCACCAACCGGGACACCCGCAGCAGCGAGCCGGAGGAGGAAGCGCTGTGAGCGGGGGCAGAAGAGAGGCAAGCGGGCGGGCGTCTGGGCGAGGCTAAAAGCTAAGCCCTTCAGACTACCGCTTCCTACCATCTTCCTTTCTAATGCGCGGTCAATCAGGAATAAGATGGACGAGATCAGACTGCAATTGTCCACACTGAAAGCCTTGAACAACTGCTGCTGCATGATCTTCTCCGAGACCTGGCTAGACAGCTCCACTCCCGATGCTGCTATCGAGTTGGCGGACCGCAGCGTCTACCGAGCCGACAGGACAGCGGACTCGGGTAAGAAAACCGGTGGCGGCCTCTCCATCTACATCGCGAACTCCTGGTGCACCAACAACACGGTTGTGGATAAACTGTGTAGTCCAGACGCAGAACTTTTATTGCTTAAGTGCCGACCGTTCTACCTTCCTCGTGAGTTCAGTGCTGTTTACATATGTGCTGTTTACATTCCACCTGACGCTAACGCTAAGGTAGCACTAGCACAAGTATACAGTAGCATTAACAACTGCCTGGTAGCACACCCAGACTGTGTTTTTATCGCAGCTGGGGACTTCAATCATGCGGACTTAAAATCTGTTCTGCACAAATTCCACCGAAATGTCAAATGTGCTACCAGAGGAGATAGAACTCTGGATCAGGTGTATACTAATGTAGCAGATGCTTACAGAGCCCAGGCATTAGCTCACCTGGGTCTGTCAGACCACCTCTCCCTCCTGCTGCACCCACAGTACACACCCAAAATCAAGAGTGCTGAGACCACCGTCCGAACTGTAAGAATATGGCCAGAGAGCGCTGTTCCTATGCTACAGGACTGTTTCCACCACACAGACTGGGATGTTTTCAGAGAGCAGGGCACAGTAACGCGGGATATACTGGACAATTACACCACCTCTGTTCTAGACTACATATGTTTCTGTTTGGACAATGTTACAACTTGGAAACAAAGCCGTGTGTATCCTAACACTCCACCTTGGATGACACACGGAGTACAGCAGCTCCTCAGAGCTAGGAATCGTGCTTTTAGGTCTGGTGACCATGAGGCATACAGCAGGGCCAGGACTGCGCTGAGGAGGGGCATCAAGTCTGCCAAACAACATCATAGGAGGCGCATCGAAGCCAGATTTGCAGACACGGCTAATCCCAGGCAGGTGTGGGAGGGCATCAGGGCCATAACTGACTACAAAAAGAAATCACCATCTACCCCAGCCAACAGTCCCAACTTGGCGGAGGATTTAAATGTCTTTTATGCCCGCTTCGACAAGGAGAACACCGACGTTGCCCTCCCCCCTCTCCCCCCCACAGTCCCAGCCCCAGTCCTGACCACACACGAGGTGAGGTGCGCTCTCCGCCGCATCAACATCAGGAAAGCACCCGGGCCGGACGGTGTACCGGGCCGGGTGCTCAAAGACTGCGCTGCGGAACTCACAGACGTCCTCACCTCCATCTACAACATCTCGTTGTCCACCTCATGGGTACCAGCCTGCTTCAAAGCCGCCACAATAGTCCCCCTTCCCAAACAGTCCCATGTCACAGGTCTTAACGACTACAGGCCTGTGGCACTCACTCCCATCCCCGCCAAGTGCATGGAGAGACTGGTCATAAAGCACATCAAAGCCGCAACTCCACCATCACACGACTCACACCAGTTTGCCTACAGGGAAAACCGCTCCACAGAGGACGCCATCGCCATCGTGCTCCACACACTGCTGGAGCATCTGGAGCACCAAAACACCTATGCTCGCCTCCTCTTTGTGGACTACAGTTCAGCATTCAACACCATTCGGCCCTACAAACTCCGCCACAAACTTCACCAACTGGGACTCAACACCACCCTGTGCAACTGGACTGTGGACTTCCTCACCAATCGTACACAGAGGGTCAGAGTGGGCAACAACATCTCCTCCACTCTTTCCATAAACACCGGCGCGCCCCAGGGGTGTGTTTTAAGCCCTCTGCTCTACACCCTGTTCACACATGACTGCTCTGCCTCTTCTCCCTCCAACCTGATCGTCAAATTCGCTGACGATACCACCGTCCTGGGCCTCATCACCAACAACGATGAGAGGGACTACAGGGCAGAGGTGCAACATCTGGCATCATGGTGTGACAGCAACAACCTTGCTCTTAACACCAAAAAGACCAAGGAAATGATTGTGGAGTTTAGGAAAAAACAGCCTAAAAAGCACGAACCCCTCTCCATCAGTTCAGAGGTGGTGGAGAGAGTCAGTACTTTTAAATTCCTAGGGGTGACCTTGGCGGAGGACCTGTCTTGGGGCACTCACATCGCCTCTACTGTTGGGAAGGCCCAGCAGTGCCTTTTCTACCTGAGGAAGCTGAGGAGCTACCACATCCCCAGGCCACTGCTGGTGAACTTTTACAACTGTGCCATCAGCAGTGTTCTGACTTATGGGCTCCTAGTGTGGTTCTCTAGCTCCTCCAAAGCAGACCAGCAGGCACTCCAGCGTGTGGTGAAAACAGCAGGGAAAATCACTGGAATGCCTCTCCCAGAGATTAGTTCCATCTACACCACACGCTGTCTACGGAGAGTGCAGAACATCATGCGTGACAGCCACCATCCTGCCCATCACTTGTTCCAACTTCTACCATCAGGTAAAAGGTACAGGTCCCTTCAGAGCCGGACCAAAAGACTGGCCAACAGCCTATACCACCAGGCCATAAGACTCTTGAATTCACAGGACTTGAGGAACGGACTACCTAAATTCTGAATTCTGAATGATTTGCCTTATTCATTAGGGCCCCGTTATTATAGTCTGGTTGGGAGCTGTGTATTTATTCTGTGTGTGTGTGTGTGTGTGTGTGTGTGTGTTGGGGGGGCAAGCATTATGGCACTTAATAATCTTTGCTGCACTTTAAGTGGGATGGGGGGGGCGGGGCTGGGGGGGTCAAGCACTGGTGTCACTTTTACCTCTTGTGCACTTTACTTGGAACTTGCTGCTACTAAGTATTGTACCCCAAACATAATTTCGTTGCCTTTTTTTTTTTGACAATGACAATAAATTCTTGAAACTTGAAACTTGGATTCTCCACAGAACCACCTGTAGCTGAAATTTGCAGGAAATAAATTGCAGTCCACCGACTGACCAAAATGAATGGCACATGCACTGACAGTAGCTAAAAATTATGGAAAAGAAGGCCTTCCTAGGTAAAAAAAAAAAAAAAAAGAACAAACAAATAAAAACAACCTGGAGTTGATCTGTAAAGACAGACCTCTGAAATACAAATGGAAACCAATAAAGGGTTTACATAATTTTACATGCCAGGTAACTGTACAGTTTCTCAAAATGTTTTAAATTGTTTGGGTCAATCAGCTGAACTCAGCTAAGCTGCATCTTAGCAGTATACCTTTTAAATAAGGGAATAGACCATGCTTTTCAATAAGCTTTAAATGTTTATTAAAGCTTATAGAAGTTTAGTTATTCCACTAATTTTTAGCAGCTATTTAGAAAAACTCAGATGAAAAGGTACAAACCAGTTTGAAATGGACCAATTAAAGAGCTGCTTCTTGATGGACCTGGTGAGGAAGACGGTGTTGGAACTTGAGAAAGACCTGAGGAGAAAAAAACTTCTGTCATTAAAATAATGATTTGAAAAATAAAAAAAACATACACAAGAGAAGGTGTATCCAGACATCTATCAACCTCAGCCTGGTAAATAACACTATTTTAAAGTGTGTGTCTGTTAGATGTGCCAAAGGCACCACCTGTGGGGGAGTCGCTGAGGCTGCTGATGGATCGCCTTCCTCTGCGGGTCAGAAAGCGGTCGCTGACCATCTTAGCCTGCTCGATAAGCTCCAGGTTCTTCTGCCGGTCTTCCTCAGACAGCTGGAGCTCTGGAAGCTGGTCCTTCACCAGGTCGATCACATTACCTGTGCTGTCTAAGAGGCACAATATACAGATTACTGCAGATTCTGCAGACCAGTAAATTGGAACTCAGTGTTTTAAAAGGCCTTTGCATCTTTTAAAAGATGTAAATTAAACAAACTCACTTTTCTTGCTTTTGAATAAGTCAGCTGAAGCTGTAGCTTTGACCAAGTTAAGGCTCTTTGCTGATAAATCTAAAGTTTCCATGTAAGGTAAAAATTAGGTATCGGTAAACGTTAGTGATGAAAACATCAGACAAAGCAGGGGCTTCACTACCATCTGCTGTTATAACTCATACAACATCAAAGCATCAAAAGCATTTCAGGCATGTGAGAGGAAAACTTCTCAGTTTTATCTAAAGCTAGGGACATGGTCCCAAACCTGAGGCACATCTTCCTTAAATAAAAGACTGATTTAGAAGCTGTTTATTCTCATTTTGAAGACAATGAAGGAACAGTTAGTTTATGGAAAATTACTTCCAGAACAAAATCGCTAAATCCAAACCTTAAACTAAATAGTTCTCATAGAGTTTATTTTTAGATTCCAGCTGCAGCATATGAGCCTTTGTGGGGTTTACCCACCGACTGTGGTGATGGGTCCTCCAGAGGAGTTTCTGGCCTGGCGAGCTCTGGGACTATGTGGCCTGAGAGAAAAAGATAGAGAGGATTTAACAACAGTGAAGCAAAGGAGTTAAATCCATTTAAAATTTGGACATGGTGGAAGAGTAATTACCTGGCCTGTTCAAAGGAACGGCCCTCTTGTTGGACAATGACGGCCTTCTGCGGGAAGACAATGGTGGGGGCGGTCATAATGATGGCTTGGCTCTCACCCGGTGTAGACTTCAATCCAACGAAACAAAACAAGAGAACAGTTATAAAAGAGACACAGTAAAGGCAACATCGGTCTGACCCACTCCGGTCTGGAAAGGTGAGCTGCAGGGTCTTCATCTCACTGCCTGGACACAAGTTCGGGACGTGTTTCATATCCATTCGTGCAGTGTAACGTAACCATAGTATTTTAGAAAGTTATTTTGATCTTGGGTTCTTTGCGTAATGGATGTGGAAAACTGTTCAATAATGTTTAAATAGTATAATATATCCTTGTGGTTTGTGTAAAAGGATTTTGTAGCTAATAATCACATGTCACATATACACAGTGACTCAGGTTCATGCCAGCTGACCATATATACGTTGTTATCATATTATTGTAAAGTTTAATTAATAGCACATATATCCGGCTGAGAAATGATGATGTCTTTGTGTTACAGATACAGACCCTTCTTGGTACACTGGTGTATATAAAAATAAAGTAGTGACTCTCAATGTATTGACTTATCTATTTTATTGTATTTTAAATAGGCATATAGGCTAAATCTTTTGTCCCCCCAAAAAACCTAAAACATTTTCAAAGCACTCCCTGTTCAAAAGCACTTCCAGCGGCCCTAAAATTTACTGTTGTCATTTTTGACATTCCCAATTTGTTTAAATGCGCACGGAATCTCTACACCGACTGGCATTGTATCAACGTCTCCTTTGTGGCAACAATGACTGCAGAGATTTTTGCATGTCAGGCCGAACCGGACTTCCTGACCTTTTTTTAAAAAACAAAAACTGAGGCAGGAGTTTAGCTTCATCTTTGGAGTATTGCTTTGCATGTGGTGAATATTTACATATCCGTCACCCATTTATTTGTACGGTTTGGTTATTAGATTATGAACTACACAGAGAAGAAGGCCCACAAACAAAAAGCAAGGTTTGCACATACTGTCTGCTGAACTGCGAATGTGAATAACGTTCTTTCAAGATCTGCTCTGTTAGTACAAATATTTTTGCACCTTTTTAAGGCGTGCTAACCATCTGATTATCTGGCCCAAAGTGGGTTACCTGAAATTATCTGTTGAAAAACATCAGTTAGGGGAGCTAATTGGCTTTGTAATAGATATCAAAACTTTTTTAAGAGCAGTACAAAAGAAAAGACAATATAGGCCTGTAACTCAAGGCATGCTTCTGAAAGCATCTCGTTCTATTTCTATATCTGTGTTCAAGTCTTCCATGTCTATTTTTATTATTCTACCTCCCTGCTGCATCTCTGATGTAATAATTGATAATTGGCCTTTATTGATCTCACAATGGAGAAATTAACTCTCTGCTTTTAACCCATCCCCTTGGGGAGCAGTGGGCTGCCATTGTGCAGCGTTCGGGGAGCAGTGTGGGGTTAAGGGTCTTGCTCAGAAACCCAGAGTGGAGGCAGTGGGGATCGGACAGGGTACTTACAACCTTCTCAGAGCACAACACACAGTTCTCTAACCCACTAGACCAATACTCCCCCTAGATGTAGATAACACATCCTTAAACTGCATCTTATGTTACACAGCAATAGGATTTTACCCAACACTGACTTTAAAAAGTTATGGTGAACTCTTGTTTATAGATATTCTAATAAAAGCACAATATTTTGATCAAAATGTCACTATTAAATCAAGTTGCAATGATTTAAAAGCTGTAGTGCAATGAAAGTCAAGGACATTTGCCCAAGGTATCTTTCTGCCATCTCACACTGCCCTGTTCAAACTTTAATTTAGAGGAGGTTAAGTTTTACTAAATGATTTGCTGCAAACAAGCTGTGAATGATAAAATTGGTGCGATGATTTACATAGGCCTACAGAAATATTTGCATGCTGGATAAAAAATTATACCGGGGCACATTTTCATAGTTAATACATCTGAAAACTTAGTTCATTCCAAGTCAATCCCAAAAAAAGGAAAAATACATCAATACTCAAGGTTTATTTTTTTCATTAGAGGAAATGTTATTCCATACTGATGGTACATTAGCATCTAAGCAAATTAATACGCATAAGCTGCCAGCCAGGATTGGCTGAAGTCAAACAGTGTTTTTGCTGATGATGAAAAGACGGTCCTTCCCTTAGTCCCATTAGGCAAACTTACATATGTACTATGATATGAAATAGTTAATGATTTTTTTACCACCTCATGATATCAATGTGAAAAAAAAAATCATATGATGTGGAAAATGGAGTTTGATTCACAAGGAAAAAAACTTAGGCCTGATTACTGTTAGAACTACAGAATAGGGTACTTAATGCATATTTGTTAATTGGGAAGAGACAAATTTTAGTTCATTATTTGATCCCGAGAGTCCACCCACCACAGTGTTAAACTGAGCATATTTCATCCATCCTGTGGCTGGATGATACGTCTCAAAGTGTAATAGAGTGTATGCCAACACAATAAAACTATCCATCTTTATTGGTGCATAGCTGCTTTACATCTGCTCTCTCTCTCTCTCTCTACCATTTTACGTCTGGATCTCCTTTTATTAGTAATGCTCTTGTACTATAAGCTTTTATAGAAGTTTATAAGCATACTTGCCTTTTGGTAATCACACAGGAATTTACTGCTGTTTAGCTAATGCCTTTAAAACGTTGGGGTTGAGTGCTGTCATTGACCTTTAAAAACAGGGCCGCTTGGATGGTTATATGCGGACTGAGAAGTCTACATTGTTTTTCAAGACAGTGGGTATACAGTGCTGTGAAAATGAATTTCCTACCATATAGATTTTACCTTTTTTTTAAGCATCTTTTTAATTCTATGCATTATTGGATATTATTGAAAGTAATAATAAAAGAAGCAGTTATTGAAATGCTGTTTTCCCTCATTAGGAGACTATTATATCACAATTAACTTGTTGCACTACTTTTGGTCTTTTGTGGACTTCAAACCTGACTTTTTAAAAATAATTTTGATGCCATCACAACGGGCAACATCCAAAAAGTTTAACTTGTGTGCCATCAGTAAAAATAATATTTTTTTAAAAGGTCTTGGATATTTCTTCCTCACCTTGAACCTCCCCCATAATTGCTCCAATTTTTTTCAATTACTCTTATTATTTAGTCATGAGTACTGACCCTAAGGAATGGTTAGATTTTCTTTTGTGATCCCACTCCTGGGAAGGTTTATCACTATGTCATGTCACTACAGTTAAAAAGCTTTAGAAATGGCACTGCAGCACTTTCTAGACTTTTTGTTAGTTATTTTCTATTTAATTGTGAGGTTAAGGTGTTAGACAAGTTTTGTTAATACGTTTTATTGTGTGTTTTGTGTCATGATCTGGGCACTGATGACTGGTTTAATTGCTCATTTCATTCACCTATCTAACTCTGCTGGTTTCTAATCACTGTTCATCTGATCCACCTGCTCGGGCCTCTATTTAGGGCGCTTGCATCCAGTCATCAGGGGCTGATTATTCTTGTTCTCTCTAGCCAGTGGTGAGAGTGTTTTTAAGAGTTTCTTGGTGTTTCTGATTTCTTAATCCTGTTCTGCCTCTCAACCACTGAGCCTGTTCCCATTCTGATCTGTTTGCCTGACCTGGCTTCAGACTCCTGCATGTTCGGACTTGCATCACACTCTGGGCAGCGTCAGCCGCATTTTGTTGGCAGCCCACCGGCTGGATCCTGCCTCATTCTCTGGCTGTGGACTGAACTGTTAGACCAGAGGTTACTGCCCTTGACGCAAAAGCCACTGCAGATCTGCCTGTTTTTAATATACGCTTTATGAAGTAGTTCCCCTGTCTGTCTTGCCTGAATATGGCGTCCCTCTGTTGTAAGTCATGACATTTTGAGTTCTTTGGGTGCCAAAATTATAGTCAGTATTCATCCTAAAGGATTAACAAAAATGATTAAAGAATTTTCAAATAAACCAATAACCCCACAAGCAGATTGTAAAACTGTCATCAACATCTTTGAGTCTGTATCAAACGTTGCGATGATGATTATGGGAATAAGCTCTGATTTCTAAATAACTAAGAAAATGTAATGTGAAAAAGACCCACGAATGTTTACTTTGAAGAGACTAAAAAAGCCTGATGAGAAAAAATAATCAAGTGTTGGCTTTTCTTTTCAGGACAGAGGTCAAAGATATTTTTCAAAAGTCATCCAGTCGTTGTTTTGTTTACAGACAGTATTCTCCAGACAGTCTCCCTTAAAAATCTAAAAAAAAAAAAAAAAAAACACCTCAGTAGTTTCTCTGCTGTGGGTGATTTATAACAAAAGGTCAAGCTTAAAGACCTTAAAACACCAATAAAACATCGTAGAATCAGCTGAATGAGACTCATTTGTAAACCTTTGTAGAGATAACAGCCAATAGAGTCAAAACACACCATGTACCAAAGCAAATAGCAGTATTTAAGATTGTGGCTTCGGTACAATCTTTTTTTTTTTTTTTTTTAGTCAGCCAAACATCTATTTAAAAAGCAGGAAGCTGATGAAGCTGGAATGTTTTATAATATTAGCTCTTTCTGGAGAGGGATTAGTGACATACTACCAGTAGAATTTAAAGGTATAGTGGATGATTTTTCGCAAATTCTTGAATAGACCCCCCTCTCCAAATAAAAAAGAATGCACATGCATAACCCTGTACCTTCTCACAAGAAGGAACGCGTATTAAACACATGTTAGAGCATGCACAAACCCATTTGTCCTTGTGCACACTCTGTTTAAAAGATGCTGTTTGCATCACTCATACAAGCTTTCTTTCTAAAAGAAGATTTGCAATTTTTTCCACTATGTCAGACTCACCACCGGTAAGTGAAAATGAGGATGAGCATGTAGGACAGTTTTATGTAAACACCAGAATTGTTTAATTTTAGGAGGACCATTTATTTTGATGATCCACTGGGAAAAAGAACATCCTTCACTATACCTTTAAATTAAGTTAGAAACTGATTACATTTTATTTTACAACCATTTATTCATTATCAACATGAGCTTCAGACAGTGGCAGAATCTGAACTTACTGTTCTGGGAGAGCTGGATGAGCTGTCCAGTTCTTCGGGAGAATCCTCGTCTTCCTCAGGCAGGGTGGGCATGACAAAGGGCAGAGAGGTATGACACCGGGTGAAGGGGAAAGGTTTAGAGGAGCCCCTTAAGTTACTGTCGCCTTGTTTTAATGAAAACTCAGATGGGACGTTTCTCTTTCCCTGCTGGAACTGCAAGATCATAAACAGAAAGAAACAAAAAAAGAGCTGAAACCGAAGTTGAGAAGAGTTTGCTCCTTATCTGCTGTTATTAGAGAGATTTGAAGCCCTACTGCTCAAAAAGTAAAACACATCATCATATTTGAAACAAATCACAAAATAGCTTCATTCTGATTGGTAAAGGAGTAAATGTAATAAAAAATCTCTAAAAAAAATAGATGGACACAGAAAAGGACACTTCCCATAAATATCAGCCATCTATTATCACATTAAAATATGCTTCCAGTGAGTTTACTGAACACTTAAAGTTATCCTATACTTTGTGTAGTGCTTTTGATTAGCAGCTTCTGCAAAATGAATTAAAGTTACTCAGTAATAATGTCATATGGATTTTCAGAACAAGAATTCAAAACATCTGTTATTTAATTGCTCTCTGATACAAAACATTTCTAATTTTACTTTGTGTTCTTTTGGATTTATGGTGATAAGCTGGTAATTCCCACACACTCTAGCAAATTAAGGAGCTTTGACAGCAAGTTTAAATGAATTTCCAACAAATCAGAGCTGAATGTCAGTTGCAAGGATATTGTCTTTATGGTTTGAGCAAAAATTTTATTCCAACAAAGGAAATGAAGCCAAGATGGAAGTTCAACTGGAGAAACTCATTGCTTTTCTTCATCCACCTGTGACACAGCCAATCAGCTTTGAACCACACCTCCACGAAAGCCAATCAGCATCCAAAGTTAATCTTAAAAGGCCTCCGATACGCACTTGTCTGCTCTGTGCACAGGCGACGTATGCGTGTGTGACTTCATTCAGATGACAACGTTTCAACCCACCTCCAGCCCCTCCTCCACCACCGGAGAAGACGACCATGTTGAGCCTGGTTCTGCCAGAGGTTTCTTCCCAACTGGGACTTTCTCCTCTCCACTGTCGCTTCATGCTTGCTCATCATGTACAGGTTCTCTCAACCTGTGTTATCCAACTAGACTTCCATTTTCCAGGTCTCTAAGTGAAGCTCTAGTATCAGCTTACGCAATCCACTGGATCTCCCCATAAAGCTCAGCCTACCGCCTAACCAGCAGCCTACAAACTGTTCATGCATATCTACCAAAATTAAGCGCTATGATTCCTGCCGAGGTATTAGTGCAAAAGACAAAGTAATTGCATCAATAAAATTCTCGTAATTGTCATCCATCCATCCATCCATCCATTCTCTTTACACGCTTGTCCCAAGTGGGGTCGCGAGGGGTGCTGGTGCCTATCTCCAGCAGTCAATGGGCGAGAGGCGGGGTACACCCTGGACAGGTCGCCAGTCCATCACAGTCTCCTAATTGTCATGTGAGTTTTATTTAGATTGAAATAACAGCTATGCTTAAGCAAGCAGTGACAAACTCAGTGATTGTAGAACTTTTAGCAGAATTCAATCTATTTATGTTCCAGTTGGAAATTTTCAATTTGAGCTTTTTCTATGCTTAATCGCTGCATGTGAAATATACAAGTTCTGCACACTTGCATGACCTTAAATGGTTACATGATTTTGCAAAGCTGAGTGTGTTCCTATGCTCACATACAGGAGGATGCATGTAAATTCTGGGAATTTGTGTCACATTATTCTTTTGCAGTCAGTCTTAACACTCCATTACTACAAGCACTAAGAAACCAAATAAGATATACAAGACAAACTAAGACCATAACAACACCTACTTAGAGGATTTACATCTGAAGCTGAAACAACTCATCTGCTATGCAGCAAAGAAGTGATCAAAATCTAGAAAAAATAAATATATACATCCTTTTTTCCTTCTGTTCCCCCCCCCCCACCCTGCAGTTTACTTTTAGCAGCCACAGTGCCATTTAGAAACAGTCAACGGGTGCACTTGGTTGAGCTGAGCTGCGCTCAAATTTCACAGGCCGATCGAGGCTACAAGCTCCTCAGGGACGGAGTAAAACAAACAGAAAGATTTGTAGAAAGATTACGTGAAATCACAAGTGCAAGCTGTGTGGAAGATTACTGAGAGCCGATCATCCCTGCAGAGTTCACAGCCATCTACACTGACTTTATCAGAGCTGTAAATGCTAGAATTTTAATAAAGAGGACAAATATTAAAAGACGGAAAACTAACAAAGGATTTACAGATTCCCCAAGAAGGAAGTGAAATCAAAACTAGCAAGTAGCATCCAATTACAGGAAGAAACCATAAAGCTATTTATAGATTAGTTTTATATTTGTTGAACAGATTCATACCTATAACAGAGTCTTAGATGTTAGTGTTAAAGATTTTCAGTGAAAGGAGTCACTCTTTTCTGAGTTATGGATACTTTTGTTAGTCCTTTTTGCATGGGTCACTAAACTGAAGGAAAACATCACCTGATTTTTGAGAAAAATATGCATGTAACTGTCGTGTTGTCCTTCACTGAACTCAGTCTCATCTTCCCTTTTTTATTAGCAAATGTATGTAAATCCAAACAGAAAACTGTTTTTACCCTTTGTGGGATGTTGAAGGCTGTGAGGCTGTACACAAACCATTGTCAGAGGTTTATTATGTCGGGCGCTAATCAAAACTAATTTCGGCACAAACAACATCTTCATATGCATGATCTGAGCAGCTGTTAGCAATGAACTGCTGTTTTAGAGTTTAGATAGAAGAAGTTTAGTAAATCCTCCGATCTAGTAAAGTCAAGATTAAACAACACTGCTTAATATCATCACAGACATGACAAGTTTCTGGGAACATAAAGTGACAGAGAGGTTGTGAGTCACTGGGGAGGAAATGGACTGTTTAACTGTTTCCTAGTGAGCTGCTGGGATATTTCCTGACTAAAGGAATACGGTGTCATGCAGGAGCACAAATGGCTTCTCATTCGCATTCTGCAAAGAGGTTTAGTTCAGATCATGGTCATTTTTGCTTACCACTCATTAGACAAAACAGATGTTAATGTTCTGATAATTAGTGTAACTCTAAAAAACATTAATCAAGTTCTAATAGTTAGATTTCCTTAAATAAATGTTCTTTATTTTGTATAATCAATTGTGTTATAATTGGCTTGCCTGTTTGGTTTTTCTAATTTTAAGATTACATTTGCAATAAATGTGAATCAAATAGGTTATTAGAAATTAATCTGAACCAAAGTGGATGACATATTTGGGTGTTGTTTAAATATATGAAGTAAAAAGATATAAAATTCAGCTGGATATTGAATTTCCTCTAGATTTTGAATATGAAATGTGAATAATTTTTAGACAGATGTAGCAAAGAAAAAGCTTGTTTCTTCTGCTTTATAATGCTTTTGCATAATGCTTATCTGGTGAACTGTAAAGTGCCTTGAGGTGACATGTGTTGTGAATTGGTGCTATATAAATAAACTGAATTGAAAATTGAATTGATCTTTGTTCTATTAGTTGCATCATTTGCATAAGATATTACAATATAAAGGCAGAAGATAATTAAACAAATCCATAATTCATATTTTGTATGACATAAAAATTATGCTCCTTTCTTTCATTTAATCATCAAGGCAAATATTTGTTACTACAGAACATTGGAAACATGGTTGAAGCAATGCCTGCCTCCTTTGGATTGGAACTTTTATAGCAATCCCTTTAGAATGTGTTCTTAGATCCAAATATTATCAAAACAAACTTCAATTCACTTAACAGCTAAAATCATAGCTAACTTTTCATTCATGGCATAATCTTTCTTAATAAATTTGCAAAGTATCATGTTGTATGATGCCATAGAAACAGCAATCTGCACATATAAGTGACACAATGTAATCTCCCTTAGTCTAAAGAATCTGATTAAAAAAAACAACAAAAACAACTAATATAGCTCTGAGATTAATAGTATGCTTCTTAAATGTTTAGCACAAAATATTTTTGTTGGTATTTTAAACTGTTTTTATTCATCTATCTTATTGTGAAATGGTACATGACAGTACATTTCCTTCATTTGCTTAGGAAGTGGGCTCAGCTTCCCTTTTCTTTAAACGTCTAATCTGGAACTGATCCAACAACAGGAATCACCGGTTCTCCAAACCCTAGTGCCAGAAAACACTGCAAAAACGATGTAGAAATAAGTAAACAATTCTTACATTAAATGTATTTACCCTAAATTTGAGCAGGTAAATGAGATGATCTGCCAATGGAATTAGTATTTTAATCTTCAAATAAAATAATTAAATAATATGCACTTGGAATGATGCAATAGTTTTTTCTTATTTTAAATGTAAATCGTCTTATTTCATTTGCAAAGTGACTCCCTTACCTCCTCAATTCAAGCAAAAATTGCACTGATTTTAAGAAAAAAATACTTGTTTAGATTTCTATTCTTTCCAGCGAAGACCAGTACTGCCTGCCAGTCTCTGACCGCTGGTGAAACTGAAGCCAACTATCCATACAGCTATGATGGGAACTATGTGAGAAATGACACAATCTGGTAGAAAGAGAGTTACAATCTCCAGATCTGACCCAGTAAGGCGATCTATTGTGGTGGTTGTGGTTCTGAGAGCTAACAGATTGAGACTGGCCCTGAATGTTTATAAATTCATTCCCTTGGGTTTCTAAGAAACTGCCAAGACTGTGGAAAAGTAAGTTTTAATCAGTTTAGAAAATATCTTAAATATTCAGTTCCAAGTCATTGGTTGTTGCATGTTCAAACTTGATGCCCACGGTGTAGTGTTGCTCCCACAAACCATGGCAGTGAGGTAAATATTGTAGAGTAATTGAATTATTCTGATTATTTCCGGTGGAGGAACAAGAATAGAACAGGCAAACCTGAGCTCAGGCATTCTGCTGTGACCAGCTCTTCTGCTTCATATTCAAACAGAATAGACAGCTGATTTGATTTTCTACAAAGCTGTTCGTCCAGTCAGAGGATCAGAGAGAGAAATGGACCATCACCTCCTCCCTTTCTCTGTTACATAAGCAAACCCCCACATGCCAGATTTGTTTAAAATTTGCTTGTGTGAAGCACAGAGAGCAGAGCCAGCAGAGGAAGTGGTTTAAACACAGGCACAATCTGAGATAACATGACAGAGGAAGCGTAAGAAAATAAAAGATGCAATGGGCACTCTGATGTAAAGTCAGGTAGAGGGAGGACAGTTCACTTAACTGACTTCCAAAATTGGTGTATATTAGCCATGCAAGAAGTTTTACATAAAGTCACTGCAGTCAAACAGAGAGCTGTCCACAAACCTTCATACGGATGTTTGCAGATGCTGCAGAGCTAAAACATATGAAGCTGAATACGTCCAATCATTCACTAAGATCCAACAGCAACAAGCGGCTGAAGATCTGAACCTGTCCACAGAGAGCGTGCACGTTACCTGAGTCCACCGGCGCACTGCTGCAACTCCAGCTGGTCTCTCCAACTCTAACCAACTTCTCACAACCAAGCTGTCACTGTCACAGCTTTCCCCAGAAAAACATGCAGTGCTCAGGGCTTCTCCTTCCTTCTCCCGTCTTCTCTGTTCCCTGGCTTTTTTCAGCAGCAGCCTCTCTTTCACTCCTGGGAGCTTTTACCATTTAAGGAGAAGGGTTCAGTGCGCCTCTTTAGGCAGCTGTGAAGTGTATGCGTATGCGTAATTATGTGATCTCAGGCATTTAAACCGCATTATTCTTAAATAAGACCAAAAGATAACGATGCTTTTCTTTTATGAAAGCCTCCGTTGTTTTTGTTTTTAGAGGGATAAGAAAAATTTTGGGCACATTTCTGTTAAAGACAGAAAGAGAGCCTCATCAACTGATCTGGGTTTACTCTTCTGAAGATGAGGAATCCACTTCTGAGCTCCTAAGCTCCAGAACTATTTGGTCATCTACTCTGTCAAAACCTCAACCATTTCGGCTCCTTCTCACTCCCTCACTGATTATTATAGAAGTTTTCTGACCACATAGAAAATATTGTGATGCAGAAACTGTTTTTGGAGGAAGACAGCTTTTTGGTTTTACACAGAATCATATGATCATCTTAAATACTGCAGGTTGGAATAATCTGAGCACAAAAAGAAAGTCACATGTTTTAGCTAACGAAGGATGATTCACCTCAAACCTATTCTAAGATGTTTTACTTATACTTTTGTTACGGTCAGTGGTTCTATTATTTAAGTTAGCAACTTTTTACTTTTTTATCAACTAATTTGGTCTACAATCCTTTATCTTATAATAACTTATACCATGCATAGATGCTTATGTAAAATTTCCTTATAACCATAAGCATGTATGTATGGTATAAAGAAAGTATTAAGGTAACTTTTTGGATAAGATGTATGGGTAGGCATGCATGGAAGAGGATTATGGCCACTATTAACTGATTTATTTTACTTTATTTTGAAAATAGGAAAAAAGTCAGAATTCTGACTTTAATCTCATATAAAAGTCAAATAAAATAAAAAATCTGTCAATTTTTTTTCCTTTTTTTCCCAATGGTCCCAATCCTCTTCTGTAGAAAAGAAAATTAGAATTCTGACTTTAATCTCAGAATTTTGACTTTTTTCCTGTATAATTAAACACAAATAAAATAATCCAGTGTCTGTAATACTATTCCGTAGAAATAAAAATCACAATTCTGAAATTAATTTCAGAATTCTAATAAATATTTCTTAAAATTAGTTAACTTTTAAAAAAATAATTCCTAATCCTCTTCAGTAGCCATGAGATTTAAATTAAAATTAAATACAAAATTATCCATCCATCCATCCATCCATCCATCCATCCATCCATCCATCCATCCATCCATCCATCCATCCATCCATCCATCCATCCATCCATCCATCCATCCATCCATCCATCCATCCATCCATCCATCCATCTACGTTAGAGAGGAAAATGGAGAAATGACTCATTGTCTGGATAAAGTAGTGATGATTATTTAATCAATGATTATTTAATGGTTACCAGTGGAGTAATTATGTCTGAAAATTCCTTGTAAATTTAAATGAGGATAATTCTAATAGTTAATGGTTTACAGGCACGGAGTTTCCAATTAGACTAAGTAAATGCATTAAAATGTGTCATATGCAAATCAGTTTTTGAAACGTTGCAAGATATTCAATACTTTTCCACAAATGTCAGCTAAATGGGAAATACCCAGCAGCAAATGGTATAAAAGCTATGAAATATAAAAAAATTACTTACATTTCTGTTTTTTACTGTTGAGCTATTTCCAGCAGAGAATTTAAAAAGTTAGGTCCAAAGGTTGGTGGTCCAGTTACTTTAAAAATTGAATAAAGTGTTTTCCTAAGTAAGTAAACCCTGTAAAGTTTTAGAAACTGATGTTTTTTATCCAGCAATCATCTTATGATCCTTATTATAAAACATTATAAACAACAGTTGACTGAAAATAGAGGATAATCTTTGTACAAAAAGGATTTTATTCTTTTAACACATATGCTATAATTATTTTTTTGATCTGCTTGGACCTCAGTACGCTTGAGGAAGCCTGTGTTGTAGGTCAGAGGCATATACGGTAGTCTTCCCCAAAAATGTAAACACTTCTTGTAAAATAGAACTAAAACACAGAGCGAAATGTACACACTGCCTCTGCATAAAAATATCAAATTTTTTAGAGAAGTGGGTCTTACCTCCCAGCTGCTGCCTCGTCCTGCTTCACCTGTTAGAGCCAAAGCAAAGAGAGACTGTGAAAACAGCTGATTTGCATTTAACAGCATGTGCAATGCAAATGTCTGGGGACAGTAAAAATAGAATGACAAAGAAAGAAAGAGGGGGTTAGACAGAAAGAATAGACAGATAGAAATACATTTTGGTTGATTTCCCAGAGTGGCTGATCCTCATTCATTCTGGCTCTAAAAGTATTGGACCTCTTGCTTCAGGAGGTATGGCACCCAAGGCACCTCTATAGCTAGGGGCAACAATAACCTAGCAACCATCTGAAGCACATGAGGTCCTTGATCCGCTGGTTGAGAGCTCCTGTCGTCTGCTTCAGAAGCTTTCAGGAAGAGCATTGTAAGTGAGAGACTAAGAACTAGTGAGAAGTAGCATCACCAGAACCCAAGTTTTTATAGTTCCAGCAGTTTCATTCATTGATTTCACCTTTGGTCATGTTTTAAATTTTGACATTAAAGTCCAGTTGTAATACTATGTAAAGCATCACCTAGGTAATACAAAAATAAGAATATTTTTCTATTGTAAAGTAGTGAAAGTCAATATAAATACAGCTCTATGTGACTTTTGAAACACAGAAAGCAAAACATGCACACCAACCCTCACAAGTTTGTAAATGTATGATATCCATTTTGGACACTTTTAGATTCTTAAGTTTTTTCAATTTTATAGCTCTGCATAGAAAAAAAAATAAAAGTAAAAACAACATGAAAATAGCTGCCACTTTATTAAGAAAAGAAGAACATACTTCTGCAAATTTTTAAGTTTAGGGGTTTAACTTAATTCAAATTTTGCTTTAGAATCCTTATGTTTTCCATCTTATGTGAAAGCAGGGGTGACTTATGAAAGGTAACAGGTAAATTACAAATCTTAGACCTCATAAGAATCATACTTTTAGAGCTTATGCTCCCTCAGTGGGGAAGTTTGTCATCTACATTTTTACCTAACTCTTTTTCTGTTGCATGGAAAGGAACATTTTTAAAGCTTCAACCTTTACAGTCGCTCCAAAAAGCAAATTATCTGTTCCATAACCTCAGAGACTATCAGGGCTCAGAGAATAGGACCCAGAATTCAGGCAGACAGTTTAGGGTTGTTTAAAAATGAAAAGCTTTATTGACTGCTCTTAGTTCTGCGGCCCGTCAGCTGGGACCGGCTTACTGGGATCACTGTAGAGATGGATACTCAGGTTAGTGACCACGAAACTCAGACAGGGAAAGATTACAAGCATGTAAGTCACAACATGGTTCTTTAATTCAGTCTGTGCCCAGAGGAAGGAGTGGGAACCAGTCTGATGCCTTCTTCACAGCTTGCGGCAGGAGCTGCCAGAGAGTTCCAGGAGAGAGGCAGAGCAGAATGACCAGCGGAAGCCAGCAGACGCGGGAGAGCAGATGGATCCGAAGGGAGAAGACAGAGCAGGTGACGAACCAGAAGCAGATGTCCAGGCCAGTAGATCAGAGAGACAAAGAGGTATCGAAGAGGAATCCAAGCCAGGGTCAGGGGACAGATCCAACTTCGTTAACAGATAGAATCCAAACAGCAGTCCGAAAACAGGGATAGGCAGAAACATACCGGAACAGGGGCTAACCAAACTCAGGGTTCAGAGAAAGAAACAGGTCAGGATCAAGTAATCAAAACTCTACAGGGTACGCTAAAGAAGTCTCACACTCTGCTTGAATAATCTGGCACTGATGGCTGGAAAACAGGCAGGTTAAATAGGAGCTGGAACAGGTGAATCAGATGAGAGGAAATGAAAACTGGGAGGAGCTAGGCAGGGGGAAGAAATTAACTAATAATTCAGTTATCAATGACAAGATCATGTCAGAGAAACCCAGTGACAGTTGCAATCCCAGATTAGTGGTAAATTAACTATAGATAAAGACACTGCTCAAAACAATTAAAGGAACACTTTGTAATCAGAGTATATCATAAAGTTATTTAAACTTCTGGGTTATTGATTTGGTCAGGTAACTAGCAGAGGGGGTTGTTAATCAGTTTCAGCTGCTTTGGTGTTAATTAAATTAACAACAGGTGCACAGGAGGGGGAACAACGAGACCACCATCAAAACAGGAATGGTTTTACAGGTGGAGGCCACTAACATTTTCCCCCCTCCTCATCTTTTCTGACTCTTTTTCATCAGTTTTGCATTTGGCTAGGGTCACTGTCACTACTGTTAGCATGAGGCGCTACCTGGACCCTACAGAGGTTGCACAGGCAGTCCAACTCCTCCAGGATGGCACATCAATACGTGCCATTGCCAGAAGGTTTGCTGTGTCTCTCAGCACAATCTCAAGAGCATGGAGGAGATTCCAGACGACAGGCAGTTACTCCAGGGGAGCTGGCCAGGGCCGTAGAAGGTCTACAACCCATCAGCAGGACCGGTATCTGCTCCTTTGTGGAAGGAGGAGCAGGAGGAGCACTGCCAGAGCCCTACAAAATGACCTCCAGCAGGCCACTGGTGTGAATGGGTCTGATCACCTCATACTGTCCAGGAGCTCAGGTCCAGATCTGGGAGGAGATACCCCAGGATACCATCCATCTCATTAGGAGCATGCCCCAACGGTGTGAGGCATGGTTACACGAACGTGGGGGGCCATACAAATTACTAAATACCATTTTGAGTTGCTGCAATGAAATTTCAGCTAAATAGACTAGCCTGCTGGATAATTTTTTCACTGTAATTTTTTGGGATGTCTTTGAATTCAGCCCTCTGTAGGTTGATAATTTTCATTTTCATCAAATGATGTGGCATCCTTTTGTTACTGACACATTACCCAGTCCATATCAGTATAAATAGACAGCATGATTTTTTGCCCCTTTAAGATCTGATGTGTTTTCAAAGTGTTCCTTAAATTTTTTTGAGCAGTGTATTAAACTTAACAAGGAATTACATAAAGTTTTTGTCAGCAATGGTTGGTGAGGTTGCTTGAGGACCCAGATGCAGAGATGAGTGAAGCAGAGATGAGTAGGGCTGGGTACCGAACATCGGTTCTTTTATGGTACCGACCGAAATGCTTCGGTTCTACAGAGTATCGAAACATGCCTCGTCTTTCGGTGCCAAGTTTCGGTGATTGGCTGTAACACTTAACATGATTACGTCATCCAGGAAAAATACATAGGTGGCCACGCCTACAGCCAGGGTTCATGTGTATCTGTTGTGAACTAATTGCGAGCGTCGTGGAACCCCTTTAAAATGCCCCCCAGGTCAAAAGTGTGGCTTCACTTTATTAAGACTGATGCCAATAGTGCGCAATGCAATACATCGTGCAAAGAAACAATTTAAGAGCAGAAAGTTGCTCGGTGTTTGACTGCAAGAAGAGCGGACTGCAGTCGGCGCAACCATACTCCTCTCAGCAGCCCGTGGGCAGAGCAAAGCCAGAGCGGAGTGAATCATGCTGCTTTCACACTGGACGCAGCAAGAGCAGCAAAATTGCGTCTGCTGCTTCCTTTTTGCTGCTTGTACCAGCTTCTGACGCATTGCTGAAGCAGCTTTGCTGCTCTGGCTCTCTGACGCGGGGGGGCGGAGCTACTCTATCCTTTATTTGCCTTGCAGCTATATTTGCTGTGATCAATGGGAATAAAGTAGTTTTATTATGTTTTTAATTGGAAAAATCCACCTGAAAACTCAATCAGTGCAGTCAGTTCACCCAGATTACCATCCTGCCTTCCAATATTATTTCTGTCTGAGCCGCTCAGACCCCCGCATACCAGCAGTGCACTGTCAGTAGGATTCCCATTCAACGGGCTTGTTTGTCTCCTTATAAAGCAAACTGCTAAGTAAAAAGGTCCTCACAATGTAACAGTGAATATTAGACACTGACTTGTTTGAAATTGTTCTTCTTCACAGAAAATAATTTTTTTTATGTAAGAGGAAAAATGTAAATGGAAAAATCAGAGCTTAAAATAAAACTCAAGATTTGTACTTTATTATGTTGTGTAATTTTCTTTTTCTTCAAATTTATATTATAAAACTGGTATCGAAAAAAGTATCGTTCAGGAACCGGTATTGAAGTGAAGGTACCGAAAATTTTTGAACAATACCCAGCCCTAGGAGATTAGTTCTGACAGATTTAATTGAAGAACACAGGAAACAGAGGTACAAATCCAGAAATCCAACTAAAATGTTAAACAAACCAAAAACCATGGAGACATCAGGGGAAAACGAGCCTGAGGAGCCACGGAGAGACGAACTGAGTAGACAAGTACAGCAATGACAAGGAACCAGCACTGAGTGACTGCAGAGGTGGAGTATTTAAGGAGAACAGAACAAAGGATGGACTAATGAGCTGAATAAGGAGCAGGTGTGGGTGGAACTGGCAAGAGGGAATCCAAGGGGATAGAAAACAAGCACAAGGGGGCTACAGAGAGTAACTAAAGAATGCTTGAATATGATGAAAAATAAAAACAAAACAACTGATAACAGAAAACTGAAAAATCAGAGTCCCAACAAATGGGAAGAACCATAACAGTTTTTTTTCTGTATAATGTTATTATATTGGGCAACATCTCTTTAGCAGCAGTTTGTATTGTTGAAATTGAAACTGAGCCACTAACTCAAAAGCCAACTTCAAAAAGCTAGCTTTCATTCATTTCAAAACAAAAATACTAAAGTTAGCAGAACAGGCTAAAGGTATAAGTACTGACAACTTTAAACTTAAAGATTAAAACTACTTTGTTTTTTTGAACTGGCTAAAATTATTGTCCTAATATAAGAAATGTACTTTTTCAGGTTTACTCAACCAAAAAAAGATTTTTCAGCCCTAATTTTAAGTCACATAAGGAAACCACATCCTAAATTTGCTAACTAAGTGGTTTATGTCAGTACTCTTAAAAAAAGTTGATCAGAAATGAAGACATATTAAGCATCAGGAAACTGGGCAATTTGCTCTTATAGGGTTGGAAATTTGAAAGGAGCGTTGAAAAAATGTGTTGCTCCTCCTTACTGCTATCAGCCAGGTGATGTGGTATAGACTCACCTCAGAGGTTTTCAGATACAAGAGGGTCAGCAAGCGTAGGCAAAGAAACAGCTGATGTCCTTAGATTGTGAGAAGGGGGGCTTGTTGAGCCAAGGTTTGTCTAACAATGAATCTAATAATCTAGTGTTCAAAGTTCTTGCTTGCACTAAAACATGCATTTCATGTTCATCTTTGTAGGCTTTACCCACATGTTTTGAGTTGGGATGAAGATCCGGCCCCTTGTAATGGCCATTTTCGTGCCACTCAGCCAATATGAAGCTAGCTTGGAAGTACACTAAGGGAGATTGTCCATTTAAAAGACCAGTGGCTCATTACTTAGCTATGTTTTTGTTTTATTTTCTGACACTAGTGTCTTAAATTTGATAGTAGAAAAAGCAGCAGGTTGGGGATTAAGAGAGAGGGCGAAGACAAGCAGCAATGATCTTCCTGGTCGGGATTCAAACCTGGAATGGCTGCATGGAGGACTAAGGCCTCCATTATCCCACCCCACATAATGTTCTCTCATGATGACGCTCCTTCGCACACCTGTCTTTGCTGCTGCACAATCAGATTCTGCAACACCATACTTTATGGTGAACTATGATTTTCGTCTTTAAACACATTTTTAATCTGCCATGAAGGATTTAGATGTTTCTCTGTTGATTGTGAATTGGGAATTAAAGCAAGTACAGCTCCGAAACTATAAATTGGAAATACAATTTTTTGAGTTTATATGACAGAAAAAATATTTTTCAAGTGGAACCATATAAATGTCACCATAGGTGATTCATAGGTGATTAAACAACGAAAAAAAATAAAAATGTTTAGCCTTGACATTTTTTTCTCCAAAATAAACACTGCAAAACTGTATAGATCCATGTCTTTCTTTTAACTGAAATTGTGCCAAATGCATTTTTCAATTAAAAAAGGGAATCTGGCCAGTTAAATGTGTTGATTTACACTATTGGAGACCTGCATAAGACAAAGCCTTTGCTCCTAAAGATTTGGCCATTGATTCATTGAAATTTAACATTGAAAAAACACAATAATATCACCAAACTGAATAGAAAATAAGAATAACAGAGCAAGCTTATGTAACGCATGCCGGTTACATCACCTGAAATGGTCGTACCATTACCTCCGACCCCTCATTGAAGAGGTCTGAGCCTCTAGTTTCCAATTATACCATCCATTAGAGGGTGTGGCTAGAAATGAATACGTACTGTTGCATTACTCTGGCAGAGTCAGACATGCCAGGTGGAACTATAAATCTCATTGCATTGTTAACTACAAAACAAAAAGTATTTGTGAAAAAATAATTTTGAAACATGTTTTAGAGAATTTAAACCCCCCATTTTGGCATCTGGATGAAACACCTTGTGACTGTGTTTTGGCCATTTTTATAACTGGATGAATATGAGCAAGTGTCAAAAGGGCTCTGTATTGCTGCAGAGGCCTGTTAATGATTTAATCATAAAGGCTAAGTCAAGTCTGTGGCTACAATGAGACACATAAAACACGCAGGACAAAGGGATTTAAGGAGCAGGCTGAGAACCACTGCGCCATAGGAGCTTCAGCCACCATCTAAACAAGACTTTTTTTGTGGTTTGTTTTCAGATTTGACAACTAAAGGAATTTATCTCCTTTCCTCCCTAAAGTGTAGCAGTATTAAATGAGTTTAAATGCTTGAGTAATTTTCCGCATCAATATTCTAAATAAAATAATGTATGTTTTTTTTTTTTTTTTAAAGAATAAAACCAATGTTCCAAATCCGCCCATGTCTCTGCCACCTATCGCCCATATATTGCTGGAGATAGACACTGGCCTACCATGATCCTGATTAAGGATTAAGCGGCAGAAAACGGATGGATGCATGGAACAATGTCGTGAATCTTCCCATGCTGTTTTAAATGTTTTTCACCACAATATCATGAAGCTGGTATTTTTTTATACCAGGATAATCTCATAGGATGCACCTTGTTGAAAGAAAAAAAACCCCCACTATATTAGTAGAGCCCCAGTGTTCATCTCCTCATACTAATGATGCCCTTCCTCCCTCTGCTGCTATTTGGACTTCATTTGTTAACCAAAGCAAAGTAACGTCAATATGGTATAGCACAATATTATCTTCAGATAAAAAGTGGTCGGATAAATAATCATAAAAAAAACAGGCACTGAAACGACTATAGTCTGATAGGTGTAGGTTTACAACCAGGCCTCCTGCTGGTTACTAGAAACATAAACAACCTGCTGACTGTCCAACACCAACTATCTGATTTAGGACTCACCCAGATTATGACTCTTCTATATTAAAAAAAAAAAAAACACACAATTGCTTATTAACTTCCCTAAAAAGAAACATTATGGTGATCATGTTTACACAGCATATGGGCTAAAAATGGGCAAAAATGAATAAAATTCATCTTTTTAAAACTTTTGTAAATACAATCTGGATTTAAAAATTGTGATAAAGGAAAAATATTTTATCATGTTTTAGTAACTGTAAGTAAAGTTTTAAATGGCAAAACAAGAGATTTTTATCAGCAAAATATTCCACTTAGACTAAAATTTGGAGGTTAAATATAAATCATCATTACTCATCTCTACTTTCTTTAAATGTATTTCTTTAAGTTTTGAACAGCTTCAGTTCAATTCTGACCCCTGGCTCATGCTTGGCTCATTACCAATGAATAAATTAACCATCTGACACTCATGCACATAACTTAATCAGTTTATGTACTTAATCATATTTATGAATAATAATAAAATAATATTGTAATCTTATCTGCTTTTCAATTTATGTTTTTAAAAGATTTTAAATGACACCCTCTTTATATCGGCTTTCAATCGAATCTCTATTGGGGATAATGACCCCCTGATCAGGCCATAATAACTTTAAGTAGCCTCTTTCTGGTATTTATTTACACATTTTCTTGCAATATAACAGATAGAAAAGTACTCTCAATCATACATAAAGCCTGTAAAAGATTGTACAAAGGTGGGTGCAAATTAATTACTTAATGTCTTTCATAGAGGTTTTAGTTCATATAGATCTAATTCTCATCTATAAAAGCTTAAAACTCTCCATAAGATCTTAAACTTTTTTTTTTTTTTTTTTGCTTAAAGCAAAGTGGAAGATGATCATTTAACAACAGCAGTGAAAAAAAAAAGCCCATAACTTCTTCAAGATTGCATAGAAAACTCAGTTGGATTGCTCCCAATATTCCCAGAGGCTTCACCCCCCCACCAGCTGTTGAGTGAAATGTAAATATCGGCTGAGTCTATTTTCAGAGATCCTCTGGGAATACCACTATGAAAGGAAGTAGCTTTAATCCATCTCTGTCGCACTGTGTACCCCATTACCACGATAACAGCATCAATGTATTTATCTGAGGCAGTCACCATACCATTCATGGGCAGCTGAGGAGGCTCTGGGACTTCTGGGACAGCAGGAGATGAAACAGGAAGTTCTGTACCGTCTTCCTTTTCAGATCCAGCAGGAACTAGGAAGCTTATTGCACCTGTTTCAGGATGATCGGGCTGCCTAAGACCTGAGGACTCCTGGAAACCATAAACAGAGAATATATTTTATACAAGATTACTAAGATTATAGTAGAGCATGTGAAACATCAGCATCTGTAGATGTGAAGAAATGCTCAAAGTTGCGTGCGGTGAAAAGGATATGATTTTGTCCAAGGTTAATGTTGATGATGAAAATGTGTCCCAAAATGTAAGGCATTTGTATTATATCAAATATTCCATTTAGATCTATGCACTACTTTTAGGGGAGTTCTTAAAAAAAGGCTTTTATAATCCAAGTTGTTTGTTTTGTGGTATTTTTATTTTTTTATAAAAACATGTAGCATTTGTTTCCGTCAAAAAAACACGCACCTTTTTAGGTTGCATAGCAAGCAACTGGCCAACAAGCTGAAGGAAACTGGTTCCACAAGGTTCATTTTTGGGTATCTGAGGAAAGGGGTCTGAAGTCAACTGGATGCCATGCTCTTCAGAAAAAAAAAAATATTTTACCTAAAGGTATAGTCGAGGATGTTCTTTTTCCGGGTGGATCATCAAAATAAGTGGTCCTCCTAATTGTCAATCATTCTGTTTATATGTTTATGTAAGGCCGTTCTACGTGCTCGTCTCCATTTTCACTTACTGGTTGTTAGTCTGACTTATTTTCTTTTGGAAAGTAAGCTTGTATGAGAGATGCAAACAGCAAAATTTAAACAGAGCGTGCATGAGGAGAAATGGGCCTGTGCATTCTCTCGCTGCGTTAAATAGGTGTTGCCTCTCGGCAGCGGGTACAGGGTTATGCATGTGAATTTCTTTTTTTAAAGTGAATATTGCAGGTCTTTTTAAAAAAATCGTGAGAAACCTCCACTTTACCTTTAAGCTTCTCCTAACATAAAACCATAACACAACAGATTTGTCTCATACTATGTCAAAAATGTGAAAATGTTGATAACTTTACATGGACTCTGGAGAGACAAGGCTGAATACCCTCGCATTATCGGGTTGCCATTTAATACGCTTGCAGACTTTCTTAACTGAAGATCCACCAATAAAATACATATTCCTTGTCTAGTTTTTTTTTGCTTTGTTTGTTTTTAGTTACTTCATGCTGAAACTTCATTTAAATTGAAAATTCAAATGTATTATTTGGTGACATTATGTATACAGTATTGATTAGTTACAATGTGAATAATCTGTCCCTGTTCCTGTGAAATATTAGCACAACTTTAAAGATGACAGACCTCAGAAGGATGTTGCTTCCTTATCTCCAGCGACTCAGCGGTGGAATCTGCTCGGCCCATAGCCTCCTCCACCTTCTGGGTGATGCTCCCCATCTTTTCTCTCACTTGGCTCACTTTCTGTTCACTTTGCCTCACCAGCTCAGCCATCCCGAGGGCACTGCTGACCATCGCTTCGATCCTCTGAAGGGTCACCAGGAGCCCACCTGAGGTCGCCTGTGGTTCGGTTTGTTTTGCCTCTGAGGCAGAGGTCTTCTCAGGCTCTCCAACAGCGGCTGAATCGCCCTGGTCGCTCACCGCCTTTTCCAAACTTTCATCTGGTTGCTGTCTCTCTGCCTCCCCTTTCCTGTGAATGTGAGGAGCTTGACTTGTGTGTTTTTGCTCAGCACAGTCCTGTACTGGTTTCAGAGAGGCCTGCAGGTGACAGAGCTGCTTTTTCATATCCGTGATGGCATCCTCCACTTGCAGAAGCTTCGTTTGTGTCTCCGGGCCTTTCTGAGACACTGAGGCTTTCTCTCTGCAGGCTTTTATCTCTTCTACTTCCACCTTAAGCACCTTCTTGACCTCCTGCATCAGAGTCCCAGCCAGGCTTTGCTTTTGCTCCTTCTCCCAGGCTCTCTGCTTCTTCTTCTCTTTCCCCCCTCTCTCCTCCCACACAGACCTAAGCAGCTCAGCCTCTTGCTGCCTGAAACCACCACCATAGCTTTATAAACATCTTTTTTACACACTTTTATCTTGTTCACTCTAGGCATTAAAGGCGCACTTTTGCAAGACAGTAACTCTTGCAGGTCGTGTAATGGAGATACTCGTAAATAGGCTGTCAAAACCAGGCTCTGGTTTTATAAGCTAAACTCTTGCGACTAACATGGGCAGCATCCTTCATCACCATAACAGGAGAAAGAGGTAAAAACTCACTTACATTTTTGGAAGTTGGTGTCTTAGAGATGCTGTTTGCTGCAGATGGGAAGGAAAAGGTCTCTTCTGTAAGAGAGAGGACACTTAATGTTTAATTCACAAATTTTTCCAAATGTAATCCCCCAAAGGTCCCCCATCCTCACTGTCTCAGGACATCTGCTGTGAAGAATAACTGAGACACTGTTGCCACATTGAAAGAGACATGGATCAGACGGAACGACATGATGGAGGAGATGATCTGTGATCCTACCAACCTGCTGCATGTCCTGGATCTCGCTCTGTAAGGAGTGCTGGTTTGGAGGATCTGAACTGTGGGGACTCCGAGAAGTCAGGCAGTGTCTGTCAAACCTACCAGAAAGCAGCACGGTTACCTTAACAGTTAACTGAAAAAGCTTCTATATATCATGAATATAGCTTCTTATAACGTCACTTTTGCTAATGACCACTCTTCTCTGCATTTTTTTGTTTTCTGGTGGAGGGATGATTTATATTTAAATCCTGTTCTCTACTTTAAAAACATATCATATTATTAGTGTTTGCTCATTCATAGTGAAAAGGAGCAAATTCTTATTCTCTTAATTGTTTTTTGTAGCTTAAGACTTTTATTTCCCTCCACAAGAAGCAGAAGGTTAAAGGTAATTAAAGTAGCGGTCCATACCAAAGGCTAAAGCACAAAAACAGAAATCTAAAGCTCCAACACAAACAGAGGCATGCAAAACAGCTGGATCTGGTGAGCTGGCAGCAGGACAGAGAAAGCAGACTGGCTAATAAAGCAGAAGGAGAGACACGGCTGCTTCCAATGGTTACTAAGAGCTAATGAAAATAGGATGAGTAATGAAAAACAACTGAAGATAGCACACAGTTATGGTGATTACAACTATGTCTGAGGCAAGTATTTAAATACACATCACAATAAAGAAAGCCAAGATCAATCTTGCAAATAAGGGCAAAATAATATTGATCCAAAAACACAAAGATGGGATCTTAACTAAAAAAAAAAAAAAAAAAAAGAAATAATTACAGACAAAAGAAAGAAAGAACCAATGAAAGGTTTGATTGTGTTAGATCCAGCGTTAGTAATGATCAGCTGTACTATTGATGGGACTCTCCGCAGTGACACTTATTACCTGAGCAGTTGCTGGTGGGAATGCTCCTGTAATCTCATTAGCTCTGACCGTAGATCCTGAAACACCATAACACAGAAAACATGCTGCACATAATAGTCCCAACTAAAACCATTTTTTTCCCACTTTGATTTGAACAACATACCTCTATCATATTGTGATTTTCCACATGAAAGTTTCTCATCTTGTCCATAAGGATGCTTTTCTAAAAAAGCCAAATTTAAACGCTGTAAAAAAATACTCTGAACTCATAATCAGCATTAAATTTGCACACCTTTGTTATTTCTTTGTCTTTCAGCATCATCAGATTCACGGTTTCTTCATGTTCAGCCTGTAAATAAAAACATAAAGTTATTCAAAACTGTGAAAACTACGGAAAGCATGCAGTTTGGAGCTAACCCTTAGCTGGGTGTTAATCCTCCTCAGTTTGTTGACAGTCTCGTCATAGCAGGCCATTTCAAAGGTAAGTTTTTCATTCTGTGTGAACAAAATCAGGAGTTTTATTCATTTGAAGACAGAAAAGCAAATAGTTAGGGTCTCCCTTACCTTGTCTTCTAGCACTCTAATTTGAGCCCTCAAGTTTTCAGTCTCATTAGTCTGAAAGAAGAATTCCTTGTATAAAAACAAGACATGCATTTAGTAAATATAAGTTTGATTTCTCTGTGTTTGATGTACCAGCTGGGTGAGCCTTCTATGAGTATAACTGGCTGTTTCCTGAACTTCTTTTAGAGTCTGATGGGTTTCTTCCAGCTCCTCTGTCAAACATTGAGCTTTTATGGATGATCTCTCAGAGCTGCATGTACAAAACACAAACACACAAATGAATCAGGTTAGATATAGTAAACACTTCTATTTCTATCTAAACTAACAGAAAAAAACATCAAAGTGGAATCTGATGTTAACTATAAAACAAACAAATAGGTATTTAATTTGTATATATATATATATATATATATATATATATATATATATATATATATATATATATATATATATATATATATATATATATATGGACTACCTGTTTATATATATATATAACCAGGTAGTCCATAGATGGATGGATGAATTAGAATAAATATCTAAGTGAAGCTCATGCTCCAGAAGAGATAAATTAACCTCCTCAAACCTAATGGTGCTGCTTGGGATCGAGCTCTGCTGCTTATAAAAGTGGAGCCCATGTGATTTTTAAAAAATGTTTCCATGTACAGCCATGACCCTCCAGTTGTTATTATTTTAGTCTATTTTATTTATTAAGTTAATGCCCCCCTTGTGTTTCCAGTGTTTTTAGTCTCCAACTGTTTGCCATGTTATTACAGTCTCCTCCTGCCTATTTTTGGTGATCCTATTTTGTTGTGTCCCTTCTTCTAATCCCTGTTTGTTTATATTACAACCCTCACTGATTTCATCTCTTTTGAGCCAATGGGCAAAAAAAAGCAAAAAACTATTTGAGCTATTTGTAGCTTCTTCTCATGCTTAACTCCATTTTTGCTATTACACCAAACTCCTGTTCAGTTCGCTTCCACTGTTTTGAGTCTTATACTGGAAAAAGACATTAAACTTTAATAAATGAAACAAACCTAATGAGCAGAAACTTCAGTAATAACTCGACAAATCATATTCCTCAGTTTTAGTTTTTATTCTGTGAATAATCGAAACAGTTCAACTTTATGTTTCTTAATTTTACTGTATCAGCATGTATGTGTCAGTAGTGGAAGGTCATGTATGTCTCCTATTTTTATGACTGATTGACTTTATTGATCTCTCAGTGGAGGAATGTACTGTTACATTGGCTCAATAGTCAAAAAGAAGAAGGTGCCAATATATATATATATATATAAATATATATATATATATATATATATATATATATATATATATATATATATATATATATATATATATATATATTGGCACCTTACTTTTTTAAAAGCACTTTACTTTTCAATGAAGATAACTTTAAACTAGTCTTAACTTTAAAGAAATACACTCTATACATTGCTAATGTTATAAATGACTATTCTGGCTGCAAATGTCTGGTTTTTGGTGCAATATCTACATAGGTGTATAGAGGCCCATTTCCAGCAACTATCACTCCAGTGTTCTAATGGTAAAATGTGTTTGCTCATTGGCTCAGAAGGCTATTTGATGATTAGAAATTCCTTGTGCAATCATGTTCACACATCTGAAAACAGTTTAGCTCGTTACAGAAGCTACAAAACGTACCTTCCTTTGAGCAGATTGAGTTTCTGGAGCATCACATTTGTGGGGTCAATTAAACGCTCAAAATGGCCAGAAAAAGAGAACTTTCATCTAAAACTCGACAGTCTATTCTTGTTTTTAGAAATGAAGGCTATTCCATGCGAGAAATTGTTAAACAATTGAAGATTTCCTACGATGGTGTGTAGTACTCCCTTCAGAGGAGAGTACTTTGTGTAATTGTACTTGTGTGCATTTGAAAGCTGCATCTTACATTCTATGCTGCTGTTTAGTAATGGCCCCTGGTGAAAAGCCCATTTTGGTTCATCACTGGATAATTGTACTGTTTATGCTTGAATATGCTTGTTTGGACAGGAGAGGGTGGCACTTTCAGGTATGTAGAGCTACATGATTCTCTCCTGACTGTACAGCGGTGCATTGAGTAGCACTGGTGCCTTGCAGCAAGAAGGTTCTAGGTTCGATTCGCCGCTTGTGTTATTTCTGCCTGGAGTTTGCATGTTCTCCCCAAGCATGCTAGGTTGTCTCCGGGTACTCTGGTTTCCTCCCAGGGTCCAAAAACATGACTGTTAGGTTAACTGTCTTCAGTAAGTTCTCCTTAGGTGTGAGTGTATGTGTGAATGGTTGTTTGTTTCTGTGTTGCCCTGCGATGGACTGGTGACCTGTCCAGGATGTACCCTGTCTCAAGCCCGTTGACAGCGGGAGATAGGCACCAGCACCCCTCGCAACCCCAGCAGGGATATAAAGTGATGGCAAATGGATAGATGGATCGATGATTCTCTCCATGATGTGTTGGCTGGTTTATTTTTCTGGTTATTTTATTATCACACACAAAACAAATGGTTTATTCAAAACACATTCACAGTTTTCCCTCCAATTAACTTGAATGTTGTGAATGCTGTGAATTAACCTGGGCTGTCCTAAATTGTGTAAAATGATCATATTCATAGTGGGAAAGTAAACCTTTTAATTTGGAGAACTTGTTAAATAATTCTCCCCAAAATATTTTGTCATCCAGAAAAAATAAATAATTTTGTTGAAATACATTCTGGTTTAAAATTGGAAAAGTGAAAAAACTAAATCTTAAGTATTTGAATTATTTTATGTGTTTTTTTTAATACAGTGTATGAAAACATACAGTTTTAACTTTTTGTGACAGTACAGTTTAGCTTTAATTTATTCTTTGTTATAATAAATGTGTGTCCTTTTTACATATAATGTCATATTTTCTTATAAATATTATTTCCTAATAAATTTAAAGCAATAAAGTTTGAAATTATGGTTACATATATTTTTTTTGCAACATCACAGGTATAAAAAATAATCCATGTTTCTGCTCACCTGACCAGCTTGGTCTGCAGCTCTATGATTTCCAGACTGAGCTGCAGGTTTTCATCCTCACATTGAGCCAGCATCCTTAACAGGCTGCTGTTCTGCTGACTCAGCTTTTGATGAGCTTGTTTCAGATCAGTCAATACTCCAGACAGGTCCTGTCTTTCACTAGATGAAAAACAATAGAGCTAAAATACCACCAAAGGCTCAATACTCAAGATAAACACCTTTGGCAACAGAGGGAAATTACTAACCAAGAAAAATGGTGGACCTCTGGAGGAGCTGCATAGATTTCAGAATATGGAAAATTTAATCTTGTTCAGTAAAACAAATTCTTAAATAACCAAATATTAAAATAAATTGTATCCTACCATTTACTGGAGTTTCAGTGTAGTCTGGCCAAGGCAAACAAATTATATCCGACCTAAAGAATTTAAATAAAATTGAAGAATTAAGAACCTATTTTTTTTTTTTACACGAAGGCTCCTTTTGCCTATAGCTCACTCTGAACTTTGTTGACTGCACTGGGCAATCCAACTCTTCATAGTGGATAGGAAAGTGTTCCTGCTCACGAGTGGGTCCTGAAGGTCCGGATCCAGAAGCTGTCGTAGAGAAGCCAGTCTGTCCTCTTCTGCACTTCGAGCTGTAAGGGTTTCCAGGTAATGCATGATGCAGGAGGCCAACACTGCTCCTGAGAATGAGACAGGAGCGAAGAGGAAAGAGTGAAGGGCATAGAAAAGACATCCATATATCACAAGGTTTTGCCGAGGACTCATGCAGAGAGTTTACCTGTGTTGCTGGCATCACATTTGCTGTACATGAGGTTAAGGAGCTCATGTTCAGAAAATCCAGTGTCATTACTATCCTGAAGCAGGCTCCCTGTCCCACAGCTGTATGACCCTGGAATTTATAATGATGAAACATTTACTGTACTCTCACATACAGAAAGAAGTGGATGGAATGGAGTACTTACCGCTGTGGCTCTCAGACATTTTGCTTTTTTCCACCTGTGGCTCTGATAAGGGATTCCTATGCACCTATTAAATAAATTCTTTCAATAACTGTTATAAAACACATTTTAAAAATGGCTTTTAGATTGAACTAGAAATAATGTTGCCAAATGTTGAGCCGTAATTAAAGTTTCCCTGAAAAGCAGAGCTCTAGTGCTGAAGATGAGAAGTCTTCATTCAAATTAAAGAGTATTCTAGTTAATATCTTTAAACATAAAAAAAAATATTCATACTTTGCAGTTTAAACTGTTCTGCTACCTCATCTAAAAAAAAATTATGAGCTAAATTCTATCTCAGATGTTGTTCTCATTGAGCTAATGTTTATTTGAGATGCTAGATGATTTTCAAAGTGCCCCCCCCATGCTTCACGCCAAAAACAGATGCCATCCTGGCTCCTCCTCTTGAAGAAAAGGCTGAAGTGGATCCGACAAGTGGATTTTTTTTCCTTTTATTCACCAGTACAAAACAAAATGAAAGAGATTTTTCTTTTTTTAATCATGTATTTTTAGATTAAACCTAGTCGATTAGATTAAGGAATATTTTTTACAGTCCAAAATCTTTCATTTGGACCACCTCTTTACAGTCAGCTGGGGTATTTTCACTCTTTCTCAAAAAAAAAAAAAAAAAAAAAAAAAAAAGAAGACATTAGATACACAACTGGCCAGGGAGATCAAATGATATTTTATTAAATAAGAATATAAACAACTGAACATGTTAGTTTTTAACAAAAATTCATGATATTTTGACTATTTTGTATATAAATTAATTATTAATCCTTTGATTATTGCACTGGAAATGTAGTACCTACACATTGTTAAGTTGTCTGAAAAATCTTAGGGAGAGTCAAGGTACGGTGGCCCAGAGATGCGGCTATTTCCGTTGTCGCTTTTGTATTTGTGTTGCGGCTTTTGTATTTGTGTTGCAGCTTTTGTATATGTGTTGCGGCTTTTGTATTTGTGTTGCAGCTTTTGTATATGTGTTGCGGCT